ACGAAAAAAAGAAAAGAAAAGAGCAGCCATGATGTCACGGGGCAGCTCCATGTCTCAAGGAGACAAAACAGCAATTTCCTGAGTTAATTCTCCTTTGCCATTATCTGTTTTCTTAATTTGCATTCGTGCTGGTGAAGGTCGACAAAGGGAGGTACACTGAGCTGATGCCAAGAGTCAAAAGCTTTGAGTGTAGTACAAATATAGCCCTGCATCCTGCTCGTGTGTATACTGTATATATATAAATATATCTACAAAACCATGCCATACAGGCAGTATTAGGACGTGCTGAACAAATTAAGGCACATATGTGTGCGCTTCAGGCAGCTAACCTAAGAAGATATTGCTCATAATTGGAGTAAACATTGGCTCAAATTGTCTGTGTATTCAAACCTCTCTAGCTCCTGTCTTGTCTCCCTTTCGCATTTAAGTGAAAAAGACAGAGAAAACAAAAACCTACTTGTTTACAGTATCGTATTTTCTAAAGCCCACAATGCCAAATATACTGAACAACGCTTATGAATCCCACTCTTGTTTGCCTGTCTATTTTTCTTGCTGCAGCTGTGAATGCTGCTCAGTCCGGCCTTGTTCGTGGGTAGTTATTCATGCTTATTCTGGATGGAGGCCTGAAACACCACACACCGGGGTACTTACCAAACCAGCATGCTGTGAAGAGTTCACTTTAGTCTATTAGTGTGTGCACTCCAGGCAGCTTTTTTTGCCAATACTAATGGAGTTAAAGTGCACCCACAGCAGCGTATACTGAGGCAGCAGGATCTGTCCTTTTATCTGATCTGGATTGTTTATTTTTGAAGTGCTTTGCGTGCTGGATTTCATACCCCAGTTTGTACAAAAGAATCAACGTGCCTTTCATTTATACGGTATAGCTAGTGTCAAATAAAACACTCTTTAATTAAGAACTTCACAAAAATGCCTTTTATTGGCCTGAGTGTGATGAAACTGCTTTAATACTGTTTGCAGATTCCCCCCCAGTAAAACATCCCCCAGCGGCAATATAATTCTTCATGTAATTTACGTAGAAGCTCAGAAAAGGCCTTTTCATTATTTCAAATCATAAACTTTTCTGTTTCTCGCTTCACATAATTCATAATAATTCCAAGTGATTTATATTTCAGAAAGCCGTGTCGACCTCTGTGCACCTTCATTATCATCTGTTCAGCAAAGGCACATAAAAATGAATTAAAATAATCATATGAATAAATACCAAAAGTAGCTAAATGAGGAAAATGTAAACTGATCTTAACACACTCAAAAAGTTTAAAAATGGAAAAAGAAGAAGGACGGTGCAAAAATATTACAAGAAATGTGAGCTTTCAGATATTTTAGGCTTTCGCAAGGTTGTTTTTGGTAAACTTCATAAATAGTTTCTTTAGAATACTCAGTAGAGAATTTATTTTTATCAGTAGAGAGAAGAATTCATTAAAATACAAAGCAGTGAACCATTTACAAAAACTTAACATTGTTTAAAAAAAAGAGGAAAAAAGGGGGCTGACTTCTAGAAACACTACTATTAAAATGTACAAGCTAAATATTATAAGTGGGCCACTGCAGCTTTAAATGCATAACCGCACAAACATTTAGCAGAAGTAGAAATCTTTTGCTGGAAGAACAGACACTTAGCTGGCCACAAGAATGATTTACAAGCTGTGGGATTTGCCAAAGCAGTGACCGAGCACAGTGCTCGCTTCAGGCTCTTGTCCTGTTTACTTATGCTGAAACGGTGAAAATATGACCAGAGAAAAACCCCATAAAAATATTAAAGCGATGAGTCATCTTTAGTGCCTCTAATGACAGAGCGGTTGCACTATTTGTTTTCCATGTCGATAAAAATAAAGACAAAGCAAACCCTAACTCTGTTGTATTCTTTAAAATGCAACCGTGAATACAACTAATTTACCTGACTCAAATTAGATTTTTTTTAACCATTAAATCAGTTAAATGAAAATAAACTAGCAAAACTTCAGCGTTGATGATAGACTGTTACTATTTTGGACATGTGAGAACAATTAGGCCGTTTCAAATATATCCAGCTTAGCCAAAGTAACATGGAGGCCAGAAACCCCTTTGAGAAGCTGCTCTGTAATGAGATTCATACTGAATGCTTGTGTGTGCTGCTCTGTTGCCCAGAGAATATGGATTGGTTTGTGCCTGTTATACAGCCCTACAACTATTTTCTGTCTTTGTCATGCTCCACAAATTGGCAAAATGTCAAGAAACTGGGGTACAATTAGGTTGGGTTTTTTTTCCTTCTCAGTTTCTTTTCCTGGCCTCAGCAACCAAGCAACTTTTCTTGCTGCTGCGCAGGAGGCTTCTTGCACGTCACCAGTTTGTTTTGTGTGCGAGGGACATTTGTGCATTTGTGTCCCCTGCATGTGGTCACAGACGGCCATTAAAAAGGCAAAAATAATATGCAGGATACTTTTCAAACTGAATTTAGCTGGGAAAACAAATCCCGCAACATTACCTCTTGTTCACCAAGAATGTGAGGAGGGTAAACTGGGTGTGAGGAAGAATAAGTTTGAAATAAGTGAGTAGCTAAAAAGAAAGCAAATCAGTGCTGTTTTTTGCCTTTAGACTAAATGTGGTGTGCTTGAATAACTTATTATAGTCTTATGCAGTGTACAAGACAGGCTCACAGAGGCCATACAGACAAAAAGTCAATTTGTTCTGAGCTCTGCTCAAAGGATGCAAGTTACTGAGTAGAAAGAGGCCCCTACTTGAAGAGGACAGGCCGTGATGCATGTGTGTCAGCCACAGAACCCTCCTGTGGTGCTGCAGTAGGTTCTCATTGTTTATCTCCTGCTGGCTTGTGAGAGGGAAACTAATTAAGATCTGCCTGCAGGTGGCCCATGCTGGCTTTTACAGGTCTCAGAGGAGACGAAGAGGAGGGGGACTGTGAGGCCGGAGAAGCTGGCTACGCCCAGCAGGAGACAGGCCCGACTGCCTCAGGTCCCGGGATGACACGCGTTGCTGATCTGCGCCAGTTTCACCAGGTATTGAACCAGGGGAGGGTTTTTTTTTTTGGGATGGGTAGGGAAGCTAGGAGACATGATGCTAAGTCAGAGCTCAAGAGAGGAAAAACAAAAGTAGAAAGGCAGAGGGGAGAGGGGACACAATCGCCGCAATCAACCAAACAAGGCCTTCCTCTGTTTAGGGCCAAAGAGGTATATTAGAAACATTTACTCATTCTCCAAAAGGGCAGATGTCAATCTGCCCCGGGGCTGGACTCAGGATCCGCTACTCTGCTGGGGTTTGTTGTGATCCCATCCAACAGACGACGGCTGAAGCTCACATGTTTACACCATCAAAGTGTGGGACTGTAAATACACACTGCCTGACCAGAGACCACCGGCAGCACTCGGTTCTCACACATCCTGATGCATGCGCACAATCACGGGAAATCAGCGACGGTCGGAATCGTACCAAAATCGGGCCCTGGTTTGCGCAGGGGTCGGCAAACAAACAGCGAGGGAAGTGTTTACAGTGAAAAGGGAAGAACCGTGTTGACCGCTGTGCGCTCCCCGTTTTGATTGTGCCTGCGCGTGTTTGGCTTTTGGAGGTATTTCACGAGGATTCAACAAATTGTTGCGAGCTGATTCTCAAACAAACAAACACGGCCGTGATAAAGATTTATGTTCTCAGGCACAGGAAAGTGTGCTTGTGTGTATTTTGGGTTCAGAGAAGTGAAAGATGTGTTTGCGTGCGGACGATGGCCCGCACCACTTCCTTTTCAGAAGCCCCGAGACATCTCGGCCAGCTGTATTGATACTTTGCTCACATGTGGATAAACACACACACACACACACATTGAAGGGGGTAGTCGACGTGAGCGAAGCCAAACAAACAGAGGAATGTTCCAGCCAGTGCTGTGGCAGAGAGACTAAAGAGACGGAGGTGGAAGAAAGGCTGCTTGAAGGAGCAAAAACCTAAACCAAGTCAAAGGCTCGGCTCTTGTTAGATGTAAATTACAGCTTGGAAGGTGTGGAGACAACCGCAGAACATGTTTACTGTGAAAACCAAACAAATACAGTGTGTGCTTGTAAGTATGGGTGGGTCTGGGAGCCGTCTGCAGAGATCCAGATAAGGATGCCAAATGACAGCGCTGTCCTTTAGTGGCGTGACACCAGGGGCAAAACAAACCAGCTGTTATGGGAGTGCCCTGAAAGTTCCCCCCCTGATCCCGACTGTGCTGGGCACAACAGCACCGCAAATGATGCAAACAGGCAGTGTCTGTCTGCCTGTGACCGGAGGCCTCAGTGTTCGGCAGAAGCGGGTCTGGACATTGTCCACGGTTTCCAGGGTTCGAGGGGAGAGCCAGGCTTTAGCCGCAAGAAGCACTACAAAGTGGCTACAGCAGCTAACAGGTACACGGAAATAAAGCAGCTGCAGTCCCAGATTTTGAGAGGAAAGGCTATTTTACAATCTATATGGGATTTATTTGTTTTTAAACATCCCAACTCTGACTTCTTTTCTCTTAGACAAGAGTTCAATGCGGAATCTGTCATCAGGACTCGTAGCTCTTCTAGTCTCTGTAATCAAAATGTGCATCTGCTGGAGGTAATTGAGTGGAATCTGCATGAAACAGATTGTGACCTTAGAAATAACACAGCTCCTTTAGAACCACCCAAAAACTCCAGCCACATGAAAACATAAAACTCCGTGTAGTTTCTCTTTTGATCAGAGGAGACCTGCCTGCAATGCAACTGTAAGTCAGCAGCAAATGCCATAAAACTGGGGTTTCTCACCATAACGCAGGGCAATGTACTGTATGTGTGACAGCGTTTAACCTGTTTGTGTAGATAAACACAACTTAATAGCCAATATCTGGAGACCTGCATTGTTATTCGAAACAGGTACCACCGACTATTCCAGTGGCAAGCAGCGTCGTAAAAATAATGTTAAATTTGTAAAAAGTAACAGCTGTAACTCTTCGGAAGTAGGTGAAATATTATAAGATATCCTCCTCGGAGCGTGAGGTTGTATTACATTTCAGATATGATCAGGAAGAAAGGTCTAAAGAAGAAAAAGAGAGAAGAAGAATGGAGGGAAGCCCAGTACAGTACCTTGTAGAATTCAACTGCTGTGTGGAGAAAGAATCCTGAACCAAAGCCACGCAGGGGCTGGTCAGATGACTGCAAGAGAGAGAAGAGGCGTCCCGCGGCTCAGAGCTTTTGTTTCACAGTTAATCTGGTCTTGTGCTGAATAACAGCATTCTGTTACCCCTCGAACAAAACCAGAAAGCAGCGGCTTCTGTAAAGATGTTATTGAGGTTTTGTTATTCAGGACGGCACAAGATGAAAAGTGTCATGAGTGAATGTACTTAATAGGTTAGCATGTTGTTTTTAGTTGTGAAACGGCACCCGTGCACACAAATCTGAAAGGACTAACATCCACACATTCCTAAAGAGAGTGACAAAGAAAAACATATATCACTTGATACAAAGGGATGACCTTTTCTGAGCTGGGGCTGGGTGAAAACGGCAGTATCCAGGGAGGTGAAAGCTCCATTCCTGACCAAGGCGGGCATGTGTTTAGCCACAAATTTAATGCCACTCTGGTGTCAGGAGCGGCACCCCCGTGCGACAGGAAGTGTCCTGGCTTTTTCAGGTCAGCGGTTCTAACTCCAGGTGTTTAAACACGCAACCACCTTTGTGCGTAGGACGGTTGGAATGGAGAACTTGCCTGCCCGAATCCTGGCGTCATCACAAAGAAACAGACGTTGATTTTTGGATTGAAGTCCAACATCAAGCTAACATCAAGCTGGCCCGGTCAAACTAAGAATGAGTCTCATTCTTAAAATGAACAATAAGATTACTAATATTCAGGAATACAACTCAATCAGACAGTAAAATGAGCTTTTGTTCTTTCAAAATGCAAGTGTCAGCTCAACTTTTTACTTCATGAACTAAAAAAAAAAACTTTTTTTAAATTCTAATTTACCAAAACATTAAGAAAAACAATACCCAGCCCTCAAATGAGTAACTCTTGCTTGCACTCCAGGTTAAGCATCCGACTCTACAACCATCGCTGTTCACAACAAAAAAATAAGTATTTGCAATAAGTATTTTTTCTTTTTTTCCATTTGTTTTTTTGCACTATAACTGCTCATTAAATAGTCTGTTGATTTTAGCTGCTGTTACAGCTTAATTTCCCCTTTTCCCTTCACATCTTCCTTTTGGATAAGTCAGCAGCCAGAGGCTGGCATCACACGGCATGCCCCAATTCACCATAAACTACCTCAGTAATTGTAATCTAATCATCTGCTGGTAGCTTTTATTGATTTTTTTAAATTCATGACATAAAAAGTTACAGCGCCGCTGCATTTGAAGAAATGCTCATTTTTCAATGTCTATAGTGTTGTATCATTTCCTTAGAAATACAAACAAACAAACAAACAACAAAATCAACTCAACACGTTGATTTTAAAGTTGCATGCAAAACGTTTGCAAATACAAAACATCTGCACACAGACACACACTAATGCGCAAGTGAGGAATGCCACCGCAGCTCACTCTGACCCGTGTTTGCCGAGGACGGACTGCGTGCGTTAATCATGACAACGGACAACCACACAGACAGAGAGGAGCACTGAAAGGTTTTCAGAACCTAAAACCTTTTGCCACTGGGTAATACCCGCCAACCCCGGTGTGGAAGCTCCTAATCTGGACACGGAGACGCCACACAAGTTTAAGACCCGGTAGGAAACACACACCAGCACCCACAGTGAGGCAAACGTGACCGTTGGCATGTCGTGAACACTTGCAGTATCTGGCGAGAGTGTGAGGGAGCGAGGACATAGCGTGCCAGTGATGCCAGCTCCTCAGAGTAGACAGAGGGAGTTAGAGGATGACAAACAGGGGGGAAGGGTGTCAGTCACTGAAGCATTCGGCATGCCTTGTTACAAAAACGGGAAGTGCTACCAACACAGGAAGCAAAGACAATCTAATTACACGGCGGGTCACGTTAATGAAACTCGTTTGACTGAGCAGGTCAGCGGGAGGAAGGGAAATCATCAGCACACACACTCAGAACTCACGTGACAAACAGGAACAGTTCATTGAGGAATGTGGTGACAAGCCATCCCTACCATAACATGTTCTACAAGCCATTGAGAAGGATTGCTTTGACATTTCTCCCAAGACTGAAAGCGATAATCCCCTGTAGAAGCCTCTGTACCTGATATGGCTTCAGCTCTAGAGAACTAAAGAGTCTCTTTAGCCTTCAAGAGACTTCGACAAAACAACTTTGTTTAGAAAGCATGGAGAGGGGCTCTCAGGTCTGACAAAAACCCTCTGGGGGTCTATGACCAGTGGGGAAATCGGCCTAACAGAGATCAGAGAATGGAGGCAAGTTGAGGCTGATGGATGAGAGCAGGAGGAAGAGGACGGGGGTGTCCAGAGTTGCTGGGACTTACTGAGTCCTGTCGGTAACCACACGCAGGGGAATATCTTCACTGGTGTCATCAAGCTCGTCGGATAAGCTGCAGGCACGGGAGATATCTACGGACGAGCGTTTTTCACGGCCTCTCTTCACTGTGAAGAAGAACAGGAAAGGACATCGTTCACAGTAACGAGCTGAACTGGTGAAATAGCAGCATCGCTGAGACTGCGGAGACACGTGGGTTCATGGAAAGCTTCTTTAAAAACAGGCGATTGGTGTTTTTGTGGTTTCCCCAACAAGGAGTTCAACTGCTATGAAAGTTCCTCTACATCACAAAATTGAAAGCTCAGAGCTCCTTATAGCCAAATGTCAGATTTAAAAAATAAGGAAGCTGAAAGATACCTGGAGAAGCAGGGCAGCTCAGAGTGAAAGACGACCAAGAGTGGTGCGGCAGGCCTGAAGCCGTGAAAACAGGATTAAAGAGGGAAACAGAAAAAAGACAGAGAAAAAGCAGATGAAATAAACTCTTTTGTACACTGGATCCAACAACTCTGTGTGCAATGGAAGAGTTCCAATTTGAGATCAATGACGCCAAATAAAGACTTTTTAACTTGTTAAATGGGAAGCAAAACGCATAAGCAAGCATAAGTAGAGGCAAATACAGAAAACATAATTCAGTGCTCCACTGGAGTGGTGCAGCTGGCTGGCTGCAGGCGCGGCTAAAAACAACAGCAAGGAAGGACATGTGTCGCGGGGTCTTGACCTGCAGTCAGAATGTCAGCAGAGTCTGACGTGTCTCTCCTCCAAACCACCAAGCCTCCATTGTGATGAAGAATGGCGGGGCAAATCTGTGTCCAACAACTGAATGACCGTTCCAATTCAAGCCACAGCCATTCAAACCCCTCTTGTATTCCATCATCCAGTTTGTTTGACATTGTCAAATGTGGAGGCAGCCAGAACGACACAGAAGGAGGCAGGCAGGGAACGGCCGAGGGAGAAGAGGGTCCAGGGATGGCTTGTTTAACGGTTAAAAGACTTTACATGAAGCTTATCTGACCCAATGGGGCTTTTTTTACGAGCCAAGAGAAGAATAGGTATTTTGAAAGAGTTCAGGGTGAAGATAAAAAAGGAAACGATAAAATGAAATCGTGCTCTGTCCAGTCATTCAAACAGACTGGGGAGGTGGGCGGAGTCAGACAGATGAGTGGAGTGATAAGTTGAGCACTTGTAAATCAAACAATGAGCGGTTTATCTGTAAGTGCTGGTGGCTCTCCGAGGCAGCTTACTGCTCCACACCTCCCCTCCCCTCCCCTCACCTCTCGGCAGTATCCCAGTCTGTGAGCACTCAGTTCCTTAGACCCCTGTCCATTTCTCGCCCGGCCAGCCCTGCTCCTCACCCATGGTGTTGGCAAGCCACCCGGTACAGAAAACAGGCTGGGTCAACACAGAACTATTGTCTGAAAGTCTCCGCTGGGCTCTGGTTTGTTCCGGTTTATGACCAAGGCTCAGCCAGCCAGCGAGGCAAATTATAATACAGTCAGGGCCACATTCAGATTAATTAAGAGTTTAATTAGAGGAATTTTAATTACTAGACACTCAAACAGGGGAAACAACTACCAGTCAAACAGCATGGCTGGGAGATTTGGGGGCATTTGTGTATGTGTATACATACACCACTTATGTTTTTTTTTTTATACTTATTTTTCCCCCACTACGTTTTTTCTTATGAGATATTAACCCAACAAGATTATGGCAAGAGATGAGAGACAAGAATGGTCCTACCATGAGACCAAAAGGCCTTCCTGACATTATCCCTCTGACAAAGTGACACAAGCCAGTTCCTGGAACCCCACTTAGTGGATCTAACAGTGCATTTAATGGCTGGTAATAAGACTTTGAAAAACTCACCGGTTTTTCCAAGTATCCTTGCAATTCCTGAAATAAAAAGGATTTTGTTATTTTCATTAATAAAAATAAGACAGTAATCTGGCTGGCTTATAAAGCTGTTTTTATGGAAATGGCAGAACTCTACCCGATTACTCTATATACCATTCACAAAAGATCATTTCCTATAACTATTTTTATCATGCAGTATGATTCTTTTAAATTTTACATATTAAATGTAATTATTTCAGTATCAATAAAGGATCAGAGAGCATTTTAGAAACAAATAATGGGCATGTGACTGCAAAAGCACATTCTGTGTTCTCAGATGTTTCTGCTTCAGTTAAGATCAGTTTCATTGGACAATGCCTTAAGTAATTTTTATGATAGTTTTCAATATTTTCTAAATTTAAGATCTTTCGGTAAAAAACTCCCAAACTTTCATTTCATGTCCAGCAGTGAATACAGACAGTACAGACAGAACACATCGCAGATGTCTGTTTTATGGATGGATATGCAGCCATTTAAACTCAGACATTATAATTAGTGACAGCAGGCTTTGGCTTTGGCTTCTTTACTACATGTTGAGATTGTTATCCATGGCTTGTTTAGTTGTTTTTTTATTATTTCAGAATGCATAAAAGGTCTAACAATAACTGCGTGTAACGTTTCTTGTACAGGGTTAACATCTGAAAATCCTGCCTCACTGGTAACACCAGGTTGAATATCACTGCTTTGTCCGCATGCTGACATTCTGCCTGTTGGCTTTCATGAACCAAAGTCCAGCCAATTAAGCAGACAAGCCTTTTTTTTCCCTGAGTTTTTTTTCTAGTGATGTTCTTCCTTTATGTAACTCCAGCTCCTTTTATGATGGCATGCTTTGACAGGAAAAACTCATAAAGAGCATTTATTAACCTGGAGTCTGGGTCAGTTCATTTGGTGGGGTTGGCTTTTAACACAGGAAGCTGAACCACCCCACCCCCCCAGCACCCATCCCCGTAACATCCATCCATCACCCATATACAGTACTGTGAGAATGGGCCTGCGTTTAAACTGTCTGTCTGTTGCATTGTGCGGTGGCGTGAACGGGGAGTCATCAGTAGGTATGTTCAGAATTACCTGATATCAGCACCACCATTTGAGCTGGCTTAGCTCACTTTGTAAGAACCATACGGCTTCAGTATGACTGCGACTGGCATTACGAGAAATTCCCACTTGTAACTTTGACGAGCTGGTATTTTAAAGTTGTTTCCATTAAAGCCCGATGCGAGTGTCTGTGGCTAGCAAGGGGGACAGAAGAAGCTGTAAAAAGCTTCTAACCATGACCTCTAATCACCACTGAGACTGTAATAACTTCCATGTGGCTTACTGGAGACACCTGGTAGCCATCTTGGCTGAAAGGTAATCAGGACCTCTGTTTACTGTGTGAAAATGAGGAGCCATCACATAACTCCTCCCCAAATATGTCTAATGATCTCAGCTGACACCACCGAGAAAGCCAAAGTGCACCCCAGTGTGTTATTATGCCCCAGTGAGAACCAAACAGTGTGTTGGACTAATGCCTCTACCCATTAACCGCACCCAGGTCTGCTGCTAGCTTTTGTCCTGAAAGTACCAGCTAAAATGTAGAAACATACAGTACCAGGACACCGACTAGTGACTAGGTGCGTTCAATGATGTCATTGTAATGTTGACATAACAAGAGTATTCCTGGATGCTATGACTTCATATTAGATGCTGTAAGAAAATATTGTTCATTGAGTTTTTCTCTTTTAAAACGATGCATCCGATGCCAAAACACATCAAACTTTTACTGAGATAATGGATTTCCAAGGCCCTTAAAGTGCCATGACATAATTTCACTGCTCTAACCAGGCATTATTTCATCAGACGAAACACCATATAACAGAACATTTTCATGGAAAAATGTCATTTTGAGGTGTGAAGCTTAAAAGTTTTTGCTCTTTTTTTGTTTGTTTTTAATCAATTGGAAATAAAGAGATTTTGATCCAGCAGCAAATAAAACAGAGTTTAGTGTTGACGTTCAAAACCTTGGCAAGTTTATTAGAGTTTGAGAAATATGGGGGAAAAAAATCCTTTGAAAAACAGAGTCAGAGAAGTTAAGACTAAGGACTGTACATACTGTCCCTCCAGAAGATAATTACCTTCAACTGTTCCCCTTGACTCTTCGAGGAAATATGGGACATCCCTCTTTTCAGCTGAGTCGTCAATGTGATCGTAAGTGATCTGAGGGATCGATAAAGCTCTTTCAGACGCAACGCCTATTGATCCCATTCCCCTGGACTTCGATCTCCTCCTGGTTCCCTTTTTCTATAGGAGAGAAAAAGTGTTTATAGGCAAAACTGACAGAAAGGCATATTGGCTTGTTTCATATTGTATACTTTTGACTATTCAACTTTGTAGTCCATTGGTTTTGAAAATAACAATGTTAGCAGTTATAAAAGAGGCCTTCTCTTCATGATACAGCAGTTAAGATTTGGCATCATAATGTCGAAATAGCCAGATACCCAATGGGAAAAAACACTTCTGTCTCAGTGGTCGTACACGTGAGCTCAAAAAGCTTAAATGCTTTACCTTTTAACACTTCTGCTTATTTTCCCCCTCATTTTAGCTTACCAACAACCACGTGGCAGCAGACGCTGCACTGATCAGCTGCAAAACCCATCACACACTGTGCCCTCACCTGTGAGCAACCACAGACCGTCCCTTTGCTTGATATAGAAAACATCAGCTCACTAAACCGTACATTCTCTGTTTTGCCTAAGTTACAAACCATCTCCACTGTGGAGGAGAAGCACTGACTGCTGTAGAGTCAGAAACCAGCTGCCTCCACTGTCTCTTCCTTAACATATTTCATTTAGCTCCTCTCTGCCTCCTCCATAGAGGCTGAGCTGCTGGTGGGAATGTGCTGATTAGTAATTGCCAGTGTTCATCCTAATAACATACATAACATTTTATGTAAATGGCGCTGTTTTATTAATTTATTATCATATTTCCAAACAGGTGGTTCTGTTGCACTAACATCCAGAAAATTATCATTTTTCTTAGAGCACATCTGGTTAATTTCCAATGCTGTATATGTTTATATTTTATTAAACAAATGTACCCTTCTTTTTTTGGTTGTTTTAAGGAGTCCAGCTTATGGGTTTTGTAAAAGATAAAAACACTGCGCCTTTCTACAACAACTTTTCGCCCAGTGCTAAAAAGTCATGTGAAAAAAACATTGAAAGACTAAAATTGATTGTTTTCTTTCCTATGAGATCACATTACAACATTCTATACACCGTGATGGGGGATTTAAGCTGTACCTGTTTAATGTCAGTTTAAAACAGACTAAGGCTGGAAATTAAAAGACTGTATGGGTTTGTGAGAACCTAAATGGTGCCTCACGCCAACATCATAGATGTGACCTTTATAGAAACTCAATTATGTGGACTCATTGCATCAGACTTTGACATTTGAAAAGAGGCCAGCAGTTCCATCCAAGTTCGCAATGTTTGAATGAGTTATTAGGGGAAGAGAGAATGGGAGGTGGTGGTGGGTGTTTTATCACTGAAAGGGAGAAAGAAGAATTTTGAAAAAAGGGGGGGGAAAAAGATGGAAAGGCAGGAAGAAACTGTCGCAGACGCTGAGCTGAAAAAAGAAGAACACAAAGAAACTCACACTGATGAAGTTACTTTCATATGAAGTGGAGGGGGAGAAAAAAAACACTGCTGGCAAGAATGAGGGAGGCAGAGGGAAACATTCAGCAGGATAAGAGGCGAGAGGAAAGAGGAGAGTGAAATCAGATCTGCTACACAAGAGGAGAGGGGAGGAATCTTGAAAGACACAGAAAAGGCAGAGGGAGGAAAGACAGAGTAGAAAAGTCACATGCTGGAACAGAAAAGAGCGGAAGCTGCCCTCTTTCTCTCAAATACACGTGGGTTCAGCGCAACACAAAGATTTTTTTGTTGTTGTACTACTAGACAAAGGTTTACTCCCATGAGAAAGGCGGTGGTGACATCATCTCAACTGACTGAGTCTTTGTCCGGCAGAGACAAAGGCCTGGAGTCATCCTGATGGAGTCAGGCCTTTGGCTGGGAGGGGCCCTTATGCGTGGGTATATGTGTTTTGTGCGCGTTCCGTCCCTCCGCGTGTGTATTTGTGGGAACTTGACTCGCCATTTCATTATGTATGCCTTTTTGCACAATGTGGCTAATATTGTTGTGAAAGGTGAACCAAACAAGGACACAATACAAGCCCGGGCCACACCTACGCAAGTCCAACATGGAGTGGAGCAAATGGCCCGCCTGGCACAGTTTGTGATGCTCAGCAGCTCTGGATCACAACGTTTCAAAAGAAAACAGTGTTCAACAATACGAAATTAAACTTAATAAGCACAAAATATTTCAAAGTCATTTCATAAGGAAACATCTTTGTGCGAGTCAAGTCTTTTCACCCTGTGCTGAGCAAAATTAAGAGGAAGAGATAATCACCACAAGGTTAAGTTTCTTTATGCTTGGACTGCCATTGTCTGCCTGTGCTGCTGCGACACCCTCTGGAGTTAGCACGTACATTTTCCATGTGGCAGCACAGCCGTTTGGTTTCTCTGCTGCGTAGCATCTCCAAAGTGTCTGAGAAGGGGGGAAAAAAGGAGTACTTAAAACACACAAAAAATCCCTGGAAGAGGCAAATATTTTTCTAATGCATCTAAATATCAGATTCTCATTTCTACTGAAACAACCATATTTATTTTCTCTGACTCGTTGGGATGCCAGAGTTTACCTGGATGAGGCAGGCTGCAGCAGGGATTTGTCTGTTGAAGTGCTTCTGTCTCTGCTTCTGCTGAACTTTCAGAGCGAACCCTGAGCCCAGGATGCCCTGAGCGGGAAAAGTTACAGCTTTGTCCATAAGAAGAAAAAGAATAGTAACAATAATGATACAGCAAAAATAAAACTGCCAAACTTGATATTTAAATAATGCCTCAGAAGGAGAATGCTCATAAACAAAAAGTGGCTAGATTTCAATAAAAACCAATGCCTAGCAAGCTTTAATAAGGTAAACTACACAATGAAACAAATAGAATAAATAGAAAAAAATATTTCTTTCTGTGTTTGATCTAGATCAAATCTGTATTTACAGCAGGAAGAGCGAAGAAGGAGATGGCAAAGACGCTGAAGCAGGAGGCGATGGCCTTTCCTATCCACGTTTGAGGGATTTTGTCTCCATATCCAATGGTGGTGACAGTCACCTGAGGGAAACGAGTGGCTGAAGTTCTTTTCACATCAAGTGACATCATCCTAAGCATCCTGCAGACAAACTGGTGACAGCTTAATGAAAGAAAAACAGTGATGATGAGTGTGTGTTGCCGATGTGACGTAAGAGCCAGTGTCATTTAAATGTTGTGATGAAAAAGACAATAGCAGTGGCTAAAAATGCAGAATAAGGGTACAAAAACGAAGCTTGCATAAAAAAAGTTATGTGCTAAATAAAACACAAAAATCTACATTATGTGAAATGCAGACGGTGCAAAAACGGATCACTCTAACCATCACTGCAGCAAAGAGCCCCCCCGTAAAATAAAACCAAGTTCATCAGTCCTTCTGGATTAACCCCACAACTGTCAGGGACGGCCGGGGCTTTAGAGGGCCTTTCTCCAAAAAGATTCCCAACCACTAATCCTCAGTAAGTAAAGGAATTTGCAGGGCTGTGGAGGGGAAACAAATACCTCTCGCATTTGCATGTACACCACTCTGAAAGCCGAGCCAGCTCCGGCACATTCAGAGCGCACTTGGCTTGCTGTGGGTGTCGGTGGGGTATCACTGAGGGTGCCACCGCTGTGCGCCAGCACAAAGCCGCTGGTGTAAGGTGAGATACTTTGAAGAGCTTTGAGAGTAAAGAAAAAAAAAAGGAAAAGAAAAAAAAAAGGCGGGAGCGTATATGTTGAGGGTTGGTGGAGCTGTGGGGGATTTAATCCCTTATCCACAAATCTGATCACTAAACAATGTCCTCCTGACACAAGAGGGGAATGGTCATTCAAAAACAGTCTCTCAGACTTCAGAATGTGGGGCAAAAACAGTCTCCTGTGGACACAAAGGTCACACACTAAGTCTTCAGATTCTGTATGTGACTTAAACCTGGTGTGTAGGGTGTGATGGGCCTGCCATATGCAACTATTTTAATTGTGTGTGCATCAGTCCTTTAGTCCTGAGGGAAGAAAGTTATTCAACTAAGGAGCCATCGCCCAACAGTTAGCAACTGGAGAAAGAGTAGAAGACAGTGAGGGGGGGAGGGCAGGGGATATGAATCATGGCATTGGCTTGTCCTCCGGCTGTGCCGTGCACCTGCACATCCGCATGTGAGCACCGTGCCAAGAGAAGGAAGAAGCTGGGGGGGGCTTAGCACACTCTAATCAGTGCCGTCGCATTTCAGCACTCACACAAACACTTACAAACCTAAAAGCATATCATGACTCTCAAGTTTACAGTCTCAGAAAAAAGAAAGTGGAAAAAAAAGGTACAAATCCCCAGGTGGGATTCTTTTCTCCGCATTGTGAACTGAAAAACACAAATAACAGCCTGCATGGAGCAGGGAGGGGCGACGTGACCCCTATAACCTATGTTACATAAAAGGTAGTAATCCTGCAATTAAAGTTTTAATTAAGGGAACTGACACTTTATATTGGTGCTCTAAAAGTTCTTTGAGCCAAAGATCCCAGAGGTGAATGGTTTATTACCGTCTCTTTGTGCCACGCTGATCCCTTGCACAAGGCTGCCATAGGTTTCTCATTATTCTGCACTTTCAATTCAAATGTTTAATTAACTACTCTGGAAACCCAAAACCTCCGCACAGAGGGAAACCCACCCGCAGCACACCTGCGTTTGTGCTGAACGGTGGCGTCGCACAATCAAGCTACACCTAAACAAAAAAAACAGCAAGGAGAGTAGAAACATGGAGGGTGGCTCGGATTTCCCAATTTGAAACTTCAAGTGAAAGCGGATTGTGCACATGGTTTGATACGGCTACTTCGACAAGAGGATTTTTTAGCGAGTACACAGTGGGCCACTTTTAAAAGATACTATTTGTGTATTTGTATGTGTACTAATATGTGTATGGATTTGTCACATCTGAACTGCTTCAAAGCATCTAAACATGAAGACAACTCCAAACATTTCTGACTGCTTACCACTCCCCACCAAAGGGCGTCAGCATAGCTGGAGAAGCCTGTCTTGCCCTCCTCATCCACAGCGTCCTTCTCGGCCAAGTACACAAAGTAGGAGGAAAATATCAGGCCCAGGAAGCCAATGTACAGGGTGGTGATCAGCTCCTGGAGGATTTGAGCAAAGATGAGACCTGGAAAATACTGGCACTGATATTAGACATCGCTTTATGCTGAATGTGTGTATTATTAGTTTGATTTAGCACGTCCTTCCTTATTGTCGGCTCCAGCTGTTAAAAACATATTTTTCACAAATCTTTTTTTATTTTCTATTAGCTTTTCAAATGACCCGTGGGTGACATCCAGTGCGTAGCTGCTGTCAGCCTCCTTCTGTCTCTACTCGTCAGGTCGTCAAATGATTGTGAGGGTTGCATGAAGAAAAAAAAAACTTATTATGGAGGCATGAGAGGGTTTTTGCTAAAGTTGGACTTGTTTTAAAAGCAAGGCAGGCTCCCTCCACTCTGAGGGAAGGACAAACAGGGTGCGGCAGCTATTATGGTGTCTGCAATCAGATGGGTCACATGAAAGTGGTATTTTACTCTGTAACAGCATATCTATAATCTGTTGCTTTGTCAAAGCAAGGAGTCAGAGTTTTTTCTTGTTGTGATGTTTTTTTGTTGTTGTGAACGTGGGCCAATGTGAAAAAGAGGACAAATGTTAAACATCGTGCTACTAAAAGAGTTGCTAAAAACCCATTTTAAATGACAAACAACAGACTCGGAGGTGATCCAGAAGGATGCTGAAAGGACACTTGAGTTGCAAAATGGCAGCTGTAATTGCACGGGTTCTGTTCTTTTAAAAAAGAACCACAACTAGTGTGAGAGTTCAGCCAGCTTCTATTTGCAAAAACAGCAAATGTTGAGAACTGTCATTGCAGTGCTCTGGGTGTACATAAAGGGACTGGAAATTTGCGTTAAACCAACACGTCTGTCAAAACCAGATGTCTTGTGATCAGGCATTGTGCTGTAATGCTTCATTCCATTTGCTTTCCCACAATGCAACTCATTTCCACTAATGAGAGCATATCATTTGATAGAAAGGTCATCTGACAAGATCGAGACGGCGACAGATCGCATTAAGCTCAACTTGGATTCATCTTACAATTTGTTCAGATCCCCCGCACGCAATTCTCAACCGTAACTTCTGCTCCTCGAGCCCATCAAAGAGATACGAATGTCAGGTTCAAATGGAAAAAACAGAACACAATGTGCTTTAGGGATTAAGAGGAGAACATTGCATACACCGGCTTCATTGTGTGTCCGCCTGAGAAGAAATACTAAAGCAAGTGCACCTTAACACAAAGAAAAAAGAAGGGGGGAAACCTCGACAGCCTCTTTTCTTTTCCTTATAAAGCATGGTCTGCTTTGGATTTCTCCTCATGTGTGCACACTGGATTTGTCATGAGGAGAACATTTTGTGAGGATTAAAGCAACGAGTTTTACAACTGAAGTGTGTAAGCACTGATTAGGCCGGGGCATTTGGTCTGCAGGGGAAGATGGGCCAGCTGGAATCTGTGGGTGCACCTTCAGTCTGAGCTTCATGTGCTCTAAGAAGGTGGAATTTGACCTTTTCTAAACCAATAGAGCAGCTCTTCGTTAGTTCAATCGGCTTGTACGTTTTGTTTTTGTTCGGGGGGTTTTCAGCCCACCTGTCTATGAATAAAGACAACGGAGCCCAGGAGCCTCCAGGTTCCTCCCTGACGATCCACGTGCAGCATGCGTAGGATCTGAAGGAAGCGGATGCCCCTGCCAAAAAGAAAGAAAGAAAAAAAAAAAGGCATCACAGCTTCGCTGTCATCTCATTTCCCCTCTGAGTACATCATTTGACTAAATCATCACCCCACCTGATGGCAGATGTGGCGAACACTTGGCCGTTGGACCCAATGCCGAGCACAATGATGGAGGCCATGACCACGATCAGATCTGGAAGGAATAAAAACTGCAGCTATGAAAGGGTGGTGGTTGGAGGGCTTTAAATTAGATACTGAAATAAATCAAAACTTTACTCATCTTTATTTATCTATTTATTTGTTGCTTGCTAATCTGCAAGAATTCTAAATAAAGGGGAACAAAGGGAAATGCCAGGTGCACCTATGATTGATATGGGCTTCCTGATAAAGCGGAGGCGTCCTTTGATGCCTGCATATTTGCTGCGGCAGCCTGCCGACCACAGCCGGACCACGTACTCCGTGCCAAAGAACAGCACCAGCACAATCTCCTGTGAAGCACAATGCAAACAGGGGGTGAGTGTTACACTGATCCGTCGGTACGGAGACGAAACAGCAACGCGCATACAGGAAAGGGGGAAGTGGAAGCAGATAAGGTACCTTTTAAAAAAAAAAAAAAGAAAAAAAGTTGAAATAGCACTGATAACATAGTGCCATGCATTACGGCTAATTTACAGCCATTAAGATCAGTCACCAAGATTTACAACATGATATGAGGGTCAATGACAGGTGTTCAAGGTAGAAAAAGACAGACACAGAGGTGGTCTCGCTGTACCGAGACCACCCATACACCCACGGGAGATGGAGAAAGATGGAGGTTGATAACATGGTTGATGACAGCTTGACTGAGGCAGGGTCAATGGCTAAGTAAGTGAAGGCTCAAGGAAAGAAAAAAGCCCACTTGCTTACAGGTTAGAAGGTTAAATAATGAACCTGGGTGTTGAGCTCTTCTTTTTTGGAAAGATGGCCCCGTAACATTTGAATGACAAGTGAGGGCTTGATTTTAAGCTGTCAATAAGTGTGTCATGGTGATGCTTTCCCACTGCATTTCCAACTCTACTTCTTCTTCTTTTTTTTCGTGATGGGCACCTTGAAGTGGGCCTCTGTCAATAACTAAACTCTGCGTGCATCATGGCCAATGCCTATCCATAATATTTAGCTACCATCCATCTGGTAGAACCTATAGCCGTGTGGGTGGCCTTCTTTTTTTCGGTCAGTTGCCTGAGCCGGGCTGCTCCCCGACTGCCCCCAGTATAAAACTTAATACCATGAGCTCTGCTGCAATAACACAGCACCACAAGGCTACAAAACAATGACCTGTCAATCACCGACGTGCTTCCTCCTGAAACCACATGGTTCTCGAGAGCTGGTAGAAGGCCAGTTTCTTTGCACGTCCTAATTTTGTGTTTGCCTTCTAGCACTCATTAACTGCTCGTTTTTAAAGCTTCAGATGCGGCGCTTCAGGCGTCTAGACTGGGACGTCACCGACTCATCTGAATGAACTGCTCATTCTGTCAGAGTCAAAGAGAAAGGCGGAGGAAGACAAAGGCAAACAATTGCCAAGAGAGGGAGACAGAAATGGTTCAGCAGGTCTCTTGAACGCGAGCTGGTACTCTGGCTGAATTAGCATCTTATCTTTGCTGGATTCATTCACAGAAAGCAGACAAATCGGAGATGGCAGCAGGAACTCCCCCAGACAGTAGAATCTGTTTAAAGTCAATTTTAACGCGCCAGCTGCAGACTTTGTGTTTGTGCCATTCTGTTCACGGTTCCTACAGCAGATTCACTGTAGTGATATTCTAAATTTCCTAGCTAGAGGTTTGTGTGTGCGAGGAAAAGCTTTCCCCATCCCAGCCACACAGCTAGACCAAAACAAAATACCAGTGCATTTAGCCAAGTCATTATGGCATCAGGCTAAAAGCCAAAAGCCAAAGGTTGACACCATTTTTGGGGGAATTTGAAAGGCTTGGAAATGATTGTTTCATAAAATGGATCACCCAGATGTTTGGGGCAGTTTTGTGCTGCATGTGTACCTGAAAGTGGCCATCTGGTGCTTACAGGACACAGCTGCCCGCTGGTGCAGCGACAATCAGGCCAAAGGAGACCAGGATGAGGCGCATTCAGAGTCAAACTGTGATTAGACTGCTTCAAGGGTATGGAGGCATGTGGACGTAAACACCCCGCCTTCAGCTGTCCTGTTTGCAGCTCACACACGGCACAAAACCTGAACGTGAAAACTTTGTAACTAATGTTGTGTCCCAGGCATCGCTCCAACCTTAACCAGCACATTTCCCAAGAGACACCTCATATCTCAGTTGCATCGTTATCTTACAGCTTATATCACTTAAAATAAATAGTTTGATATGTGAAAGTTGGCCAGAGGTAATCTTTTTTCACCAACATAGGCCAACAAAATCTTTTTTTATATCATAAAGGACTTTTTTTAGAAGTTGGATGTACAGTGCTAAGGCCACAAAGTCCAAAATAAAACATAATAGACTGAATGTGGCTGCACTATCTACGTGCAGTTTTTAAAGACATAAGCAACGAGTGGTGCGGATGAAAATGGAAATCCATGCAGTGTTTGTGTGACCGTGTGTGTGCGCGCCTGTGCCTCCATGCCTCCTGCCCAGCCAGGCCAGCTTTACTTTGGGCAGCTGCCCCGAAGGCCAAATATCCTCAAGGACTAATGTCCCCTCTGCCATCCAAAACAAGCAGCTTGTGATTCACTGATGTAAGCTGACCCTGAACTTTCTAAGTATAGTTACTACCACCAGAACACGCCGCCATGGCACAGCGTGCAGAGCTCCACTCCCACACGCTCCCTCAAATAAACACTAAAAAGATAAGGCATCATCCTATGTAATGATTAATATTGAGCATATGGAGGCCAAACATTTTTCTGTGCACCAACATGTAGTCCAATGTGTCCGGGTTTAGATAGTTACTAAATCAATATGCAGACCAGGCCTCTTTCTTTGGTTATTTTTCTGCCTTTTTTGATGTTCTTTAATAGCACGAAAGAGAAAAGGTGGATTAAAAGGAGTTTGAGACAGTGACTTTGAGTTTCTTTGCTCTTTTTTTAAGTGTATCTGAATAAATAACTGTGACGGTGGTTCTTCAGGGGGAATGGCCAAAAGTTTACAGAACACAGTGTCCACTCTGTCCTCTGACAGCCACGGGACCCAGGGGGCGGTGTGTGTGTGTGTGTGTCTTTGTGACTGCGTATCTGTGCAGCTTTTGTGTGCGAGTACGCAGCGGCTGTGTGTGTTTATATTCACAGTGTGCTGGCTGGAGACGGATGATGCAAGCTCTTTGTAGAGTTTCCAAACAGCAGCCATAATTTTCTCTACCTGTTGCAAGCGCTCGATTTATTGCATCACTCAGCAGCATTTAGGGCTTAATAAGCCACAAAATACTCAATCTACCAACAAGTACCAGTGAGCGCAGCCTGCGTGGAGCCATAGAGCTCTGCACAATAAGCGAGATGATGAGACTATAAAGTCTGACACGGGCTTTGTGTGTGTCATGGTATCTGCATGACCTGCAAGTGATTAATCCTTCTGAGTTCTGTGGCATCATTGGACTGAGCTGTAAAATGGCCGGCAGTTCAAATCTCTCCCAGACAAAATCTAACATCTCCACCATGTGGCCAAATGTAGGTACTGCAGGGGGATTGTCATCACTGTCTTTGGGGGGACCGCTTTTTCTCTCCCTTCTTTCATTTTAACTACCGTGTACCCCAAAGGCTGCATGCTCTTTATTCTCTCTGAAACTCTCCTCAAAACAGCCAGCTGGGCTTTTTCATGACTGTTGACGGAATTTCCCAGCTCATCTTTTGCATTGAAGATTAATCTATGACACGAAGAAATCCAAACTGTTGGAGCCATATGGTGGATCAGGGAGGCAGACACTTTGTAGAGAAGTGTTAAGCTTTGTTAATGCAATTTTAAAAAGAATTTCTATTTCCAAATCAATTTAGCTGATATTGCAGCTATAACATAAAGAAAAACATCACAAAAGTGAAGCAGAAAGCTTCTTGAACCAATGAGGAATATAAAAAAAGTGATTGACTGACAAATGTGAGTTAAGAAAGTTTAACAAGGAGCGTTTCAATCCCATTCAATTACTTACCATCCAGAAGAGAGTTCCAGCGGCAAAGTCTGCATATTGTTCTATAGTTGACAGGACGCTGAAGATCAGACACACCAGGACCATGAGGAAGCTGCAGAGAGGGACAACGCAGCCAGTCAATTACCACCTGCACTCCTTCAAAAAGCGAGGGAACAACAAATGCAGTCCAGATTCCTTATTAAATGATTATTCAAATGCCTCTAAGAGAGTTTTCAAAGAAAAATGTCTAGTGTGATAGAACAGCAGGTTGGGTGAACAGTATAAAAGATAAAGCAAACTGAAGTAAAAACTCCCAAAAGGCTTATACACAGTTTGTGGATGGACACAACATTTATTTTCTCGATATAAAATGTACTTGTTAGATGACGGATGTAAAACGTGATGGTGTTAAAACCCCGGCCGCCTCTCTTCCCCATCCATGATTTCGCCTCTTGTGAAAGCACATCATCCCAAGAAAAATAACCAACCCATTTGATGTTTGCAGCAGTGAGAAGTTTGAGGTACTTTGTCCACCGGTTTACCCCAACTGGCAAGATATGTCCACATCTCCAAGCAATAGAGAACAATTCTGACAAGAATCCATCGGTCAGTGTACATACATCGTCTACAAATAAAGCCGTGTGGGCCGAACATACACCTTCAAACCCTAAATATGGCCAGCAGAAGAACAGCATACGCAAGGAAGGCGGATAGAAGAAAGATGGGTTTAGTGCAACAGTGAAGGCTTCAAGCAGAGAGCAGGCATGGCGGGGTTAGGCTGCAACCACCAACAACAGCGATTCCAGTCCGAATAGTTCCAGTTTGCCTGGAAAAGAGAATTGTTTGGAATGTACTGAGCTGAACTCTTTCAGCTCTGGAGGGCCCGCAGCATCGCGGGTAGAGTCGGCTGTGGACTCCTTCCCCATCAGATTTAATCCTCCAAGCCTTCTGAGTGCTTCTCTGTGACACAGTGGGAGCATCCGCATCCACCATCATCATGATCAAACCCACTTAAAAAGAAAAAAAAACAGCTCAGTGGGCACATTATGCAGGAGCACTCTGTGTTACAAAGCTGGATTACATGTCATATGTTGGGAGGTTTAGGAAAGAGATCATAACCCAAATAGCATAAGAACAAATTAAAACATGAACACACTGAAACAGAGACCAAAGACTGGAGTCATGAGAGGACAGCACACACACACATATATAGGGAACATTTAGCAAATAGCCTTGACTGGCAACAGCTCCATATATGAAAAAAACAGGGTCTCTCTAAATTTAAGATGGGCAGACATTCGGCCATCTGTAAAATACTTGTGTTAAGCGCTCTACTTAAAAGACCATTCTTATTTCTGGTGCGCCGGGCAGTAAACTGGGCTTAAGACAAAGCAACAAGAGGACGGAGAAAACTCCTGAAGGATTCCCCGCACACAGACAACACACCAAGTTGGCCAGATGGGACAGTGATTTTACTCTGTGGGGATTACTGCTCCACATCGCCGAAATCCACGCACGCAAAGGCACATGTCTTTCTCCCTCTCAGCCCCTTTGAATTCACTTCACTTTGCTTGATGGATATCTACTGTTTTTCCATTGTCTGCATAAGCCAGTCTCAGATGCTTTTTTTTTTTGTTGTTTCTCTTTTTTTGGGGAGTGGCAAGGGGAATAGCCAATCAGATTTCTCGGTTGGACACACCCCTTTGACGTGTTGGACGAGAGGATTTGAGTTGTGTATGACAATTAAAAAAAAACACAAAGCAGGGGAAGATTTGTCTAGACATTTCTCCCCCTGCTTTGTGTTTGTTTCCACACGAAACAGGGGAAGTGGTGCAGAGGACGCCGTTTAAGGTCCCCACGGTGATGGAGTTTGTCCTGTAAATGTAGCGTGAGCCTGCTCTATTTAATAGGGTCAGCAGACACTCCAGATCCATAGGACATCTCGATATCAAACGACAACTCCAAGCGTACAGTCAGGGCCATTAAAAAGTAGATTTAGTGTAAAGAAGAAGCAGTCCTTGAAGGGATGGCATCATCCACAAGTCAAGGGACAGATGGATTAGAGGAAGCTTGTGGGGAGTTCTGAGATTTTCGTTAAAATAAACTATGACCTAGGAACATATTTGTTTCTCAATTTCCAGCATCTTTTCATACGCGCCTTAAACCTGTCACCCTCAACGCCCTCCCAGTTTATCACTCGGCTCCAACTTCTGCAGCAAACTAATCTCCTCTGCGATTTGCTCCCAAATGAGTTTTATGACGAATGACTTGTTAACATGGCAAAGTTTACTGTCTGCTGTCTCTGAACCGGCCGGTTCAAATCTTCTGCCTTTCTTCAGCTTATCAGAGAGGAATAACGGAATGAAAAAAAAAAACCCCAGGCACCAAAAACAGAACAATCAATGCGGACAACTTATGGAACCTATCAAGGTGCACGCAGCTGCTGGCTGCTGGAAACCTCCATGATTGTTTTTACAGAGAACGCGTCGGGGAAAAGGTTAATCACGTTATCTTAGCAGCCAATTCTGCTCTGTCCGAAACAGATCCCGTTACTTGGATGAGAATGGATAAAAGATGCATCGTGCAGCCAACTCACGAGGTTTTCAAATGCGTGTGCTCAAATATGATTTGTTTCCGAGGGAAACCTTTCACACCTGATTTCCGCAAAAGTTAACACTGACCAAATCCTTTGGTTTAACAATGTGAACACTGTCCCATCTCTTTATTTCTCCCTTTGAAATGTTTTAAAAACATTGAAAAAGTCTGATTTAGTGTTCCATAAAGAGATTTGTCTGCTTCATTCTCCTGTGTGACCGCTCAGAAGAGGCGGCCCATCAGTGGAGGGAGATTACGGAGGTGTTAACATTTTCCACTCAGAAAGACATTTACAACAATCCGGTGGGATAAAACACAGATGAACTTAAAGATTTGCCCACACGTCACCTAACGCTATGGCCAGAGGATTGTTTTGCCGTGGACAGGACGGTTCGGACCATTAGCTAACCGCATTTAGCCAGGCCAAAACCCCCAGGATCTGATTAAAACAAAACATCTGGGGCTTTAGCGAGTATTACCGACTGCGGATCTGTTCGGCCTCACTAAAGTAAGCACAGCGCAGGGACACAAACAGGCAGCGCTCCACCAAGAGAGAGCATAACTTGGTCCAGGTGTATGAAATTAAGGCTGTTCTTTCAGCTTTTCTACTGTTAATCCAATTATCACAAAGACTTGCAAATGTAGATACATGTGAGGTAAAACAATGTAAAATCATTCATATGGAACAGAATATAAAACATGTATTTAAAAAAATATTTTCAAACTTGCCTTAAGTTTTTAGAAGCAGATTGACTATTTAAGTTATTCCAGTGGAAACGATTCAGCCCATCAGCTGATGTCAGGTCAAAGGTCACACTGCTCTCTCTCACAAGATCATCAGTGTCATCTCAATTCCTCAATAATCACAATCAAGCATTTGCTCCACCCAATCCTCATTTTTTAACAGGTTTACACATTCTCACGTGGTTCTTCCCCTCCACTGCTGCTGATGCACCCACAGAAAATGTTTATTTAGCCACTGCAGTCAAATAAATCTGTTTAAGTAAGCCTGATGATGTCAACACGTTTGGTAAGTTCTCTTAGTGTGAGATCCCTAAATGGGGAAAGCATGAGAGCGCAAAGTGCTAGTAACTAGTAAACCGGCCCGGTCACTGCTGCCAGAGATACAGCAGCCCTCCAAAAAAACCTCTTTATCCAGCCCACCCCACCCGTGGAGGAGCTTAGGGTGGATTACACCACAACGGCCGACAGTCGCACACATGGACATTCCACCCAGACTCAGCCATCATCATCATGGCCGCCGTTTTCAGTGATGGGGCCAATGCGGCCATACTTTGGTCTGACCAAGGGTTTGGTCTGGGTGGCGCAGGACAAAACGCACCTGGTTGTAGTAGTTGTCTGGTGAGAATACAGGGGAAAAAAATTAACATTAAGTTTAGAAAACTTGTTTACATTCAAGAAATTATTCTAAAGCCAACATGATGATTTAGAAGAGGAGTAGTAAAAATTAAAAAAGCATTACGAGTTGACTCTGCCGAGCCTGCACCTTCACGGCTTTTGTTGCAAACCCAGGCCTGACAAAAAAGAACCTATCAGTATTTGTAAGTATTTACAATAAGAAGGGACATAAAATGTCACGACAAAGACGATGAAGCCACCATTTGTGACTGAAGACGTGATGGCTCGACTCTGGTGTCATGTGATCACTATATTGGGGCACTGATGTCTTTCCAAGAAAGAATCCAACAAGAACTTTTGTTCCTGCCTCATCACATTCATGAGGCGGAACCTGAAGAAAAATAAAATAACATAAAAAACACACACATCCAGCCCGTTGATATAAACAGATGGACTTCTTTTCCTGCAAACTGTGGTGTAATAAAAGTAAGTTCTGTTGTTTATTCATTTGCGTTTTCTTTAGGCGTTTTCTTCCAGAACTCCAAGAGGTATCTTTATAATCTGCTTGGAGCCTGGAGGCTCATTTAGGAAATCATGAGGACAAACATGTTGATTCCCCCCGGTTATGTAAAAGACTCAGAGGCACTTGTACAAACGTGAGAGGGGATCACTGCCTCAGGTTGTCTTAGCACTACCGAGTCTGAATGTCATTGCATAAGACTCTTTAGGGACACATGTCCTCATATGGTGTCAAAATCATCCCAAAGCAGTTGGAAAAACTCAGTCTGCAGTAGTATGATGTACAAGTATTTCTGTCTGTTCTCTAGTAGTTAAAAAAAAACCTATTAGTATATATGGAGGATTTTATGCAGCTCATAATTGGTCCTATAAGAAGGGCAATCCAACTTAAATGGACATTTCTGTATAGAAGTAGATGTTAGTCTTAAGTCTTTAATTAATAAAAAAAACTCCAAAGAGTTCAGAAGGAGGAGGGATGGGGGGTGACACATGCTCATCGTGAGCCTCCTGTGCCTGTAAGCCGGCCCACGCTCCCTCTTGCCCTATGACAGCTGGGACAGGCTCTGGCCCCTGCGACCCTGAACGGGATAAAGCCAGTATAGAAAATAGATGTTTACAGAAGGGATTTGGGAATCTAAAAATATTGTCTATAAATTGAAAAAAAATAAAAAATCAATAGGAACATTTACAATGAACAAGAGTCCACTGGCGAAATGAACATTTTCCAGCTTTAGCAAGCTATTCCGCTGGTCTTCCTTTTTTGAGATCTGTGGTACTCAGCCGGAAGATAATAACTAGAGGGACTGGGAATATATTCTATGTCCCTCACCTGTGGATGGACCACAGATAGTTTGGGTTACTGATCAGTATTTAAAAAAGGCACAACTCCCCTGCTAAGCGTGTGCTGAAATATGCCACGCAGAAGGCAACAACTGCTGGCTGGTTGATGATACCACTGAAGGGCTGCGTTGTTGCTGCTCCACCACATATCTTCTTTGTTTTGGTCAACGGTTCTTTCATTTTCTGGAGGGAATACACTAGAGGTCATTTTTCAGGGTAAACAGGTCTAACCAGTGCTGCATTAATGGTGCATTTTAGGAAATCAGACATACCAACCTGTATCTGGTAAATAAAATAAAAACTTTTTAAAAAGGACTGGATAACATCAATCAGTGTTTGATTTTCAGATTATCAGCTTCTCCTTTTTCTTCAGTAATTTTACTGCGTGACTTTACACTGATGTTTCCCAGTTGCCTTGTTTATAACATTCTGAGTCGAGGCTTATTTTTCTGATCCCTTCCACAGGACAAAGAAGACGACTAGATATAAAAAGGACAGACCACCTGCAGGAGTGCGTTTTCTTTGGTGCGTGTCATCTTAATGTAGAGCAGGCCTTTCACAGGTGCTGCTTGCAGGCCTTTAAGCCTCTCTTCCTCAACGCTAACCTCAAAAGAGACCATGAGGACAGACGGCCACCAGCAGGAGCAGTGACAAATGAAAGAAGGCCTTAAGATCCCTCTCTTCTCGGAGACAAGATCCCCAGAGCTTCAGTTACTGGAAGAGAGAATGAACAGTGAGGGGAGTCTGACGCTTAAAGCGAGCAGAGAGAGAAACATCAGGGGTGTTTCAAACCATCTTTGAACATTTAAAGTATTTTAAAGAAACAGACTAATTTTACTCTTCTTACAGCCTGGGGGGGTAGTTTGTTTATTTGTTTGTGGGTTAGGCCAAAAGAAAATAAAAAAGGTAAACTGGCCTCTTAGAGATCCCCCAAACCTGTCGCATCTTTTACAATGAGGGCTTGTGTACCTAAAGTCACTGAGGCAAATACGAGTAAGAGCTTAAACACTGCAAAGATACTTATGAAGGAGATTCCTCTGAGCTGTTCGTCTCCAAATAAATGCCAAAAGAATCCACAAAACTCCCTGCATTCAGGGGACAACGATGAATCCCAAAATTAAAGAAACGGGACCTTATCTGTTCTTTGGCTCCCCCTACAGATTTTTGTCATAACACAAATCTCAACATGAGCCCTGCAAATGTACAGCCATACATTTCCATTGGTTGTCATGCTGAGGCTTCAACAACAAGCATCAAAAGCCCAGAATAATTTACTGTGGTGGTCCATTAAAAAAAGAGGACTACTGCACACACACCAAAATAAATGTGTCTGACTTCATATATCTCCCAATTAAAAAACATTAAATATCATATATCCGTTTCTGGAATCGTTTGAGATGGGAAAAAAATCAATCAATTTGTACAGCTCACCCCCAGCGCCCCACTTCACCTAACCAAAAGTCCACACCAGCATGCAAGTGTGACTACAGCAGCAGCAACACCTTTGTATAGCAAGCAGATGACAAACAAGATAAAGATGATTTAACGGCAAGCTCTCAATGGGGTTATGCGTCATGCAAAACTACCAGGAAGGCAAACAGAAAGAAGAGCAAAAACAAGAAGAAAAAAAAAGTGATTTCCCCTTGTCTCAGAATAAGGGTGAAATGAATGCAAACATCAGAAGGGTATTTCAGTTCAACTTCTTTCATTACAGTTCATATTTCTAATCTAATCTGCTCCAAATCCATGTGGATTCACAGTGAACAAAGTGGAGAATCATTACGACGTCACAACATCTTCTTCAAGCATCTCACAGATGTTCTTTTGAAAATGCCATATTTTGCAAGTGATGCAGGTTTAACTTTTAATCACACTACTACTTCACCTTAATAAGAAGTGTGTTTTTAAGGCACTCTGGATAGTTTTGAGTCAAACCTAAAGGTGAAAAGTAAACACTTAACTGATGACACATTATGGCCCAAAGAAACGCGTTTTTGGGCAGGCCTGCTGTTACCCAGAACAAGAACCAGGGTCACTGGGACGAGCAGGACTACGTCTAATTAACAGAGAGAGACGCAGCTCACCTCTGGCTGAAAAAAAAACTCCCAGCTCTAGAGCCTAAGTCTTTCCTCTGCATTGTTTCCGCTTGACTTTTAAAACTGCTTGTCAATTGTGATTTGAACATAAGATTCCTCTACAAGCCTGTCAGCATACATCATCATCCGTCAAGACGTCTTCATAAGTGTTTGGTGTAAACTGAAAAATCGAGACCAGATACTCACACGAGGAAGTGGTAGAGGAAGCATTTCAGTCCAGCAGGTCTTTCCAGGAAGTTGTAAACATCTCCCTGCATGCTGGTCTTGATGTAAGGGCTCTGGAACTCCTTCTGATGATGGCGGAGCCAGCTTGAGCGGGGGAGCGGCGGTGGGGCGGGCCCCCCGGAGGACTGGCCCTGCACGATCTGGAGCGCCGGGTCCTTAGTGTCAGGTGGCAAGCAGCGGGGAACGCCTGGTCCATTATTCACCGCTGCCGGGTCCAGTTCAAGTGAAACGGGAGAGTACTGACTGACCACGGGGGGAGCAGGAACCTGGAGGGCAGTGCTGCTGCTGCTGGTGGTGTTGGTTCCAACGGAGGCGGCGAGGTTCATCTCGTGGTCCAGGCTGAGGCTGACGCCCGCGTGTCCATTGGGGCTGCAACCTAAAAAAGAACCGCTCGTCCGGCTGCCATAGTCCCGCTGGGCGTGGCAGGTCATGTGAAAAGAGCGCGTGCGCCGTTCTCCCATGCTGTCCCACCAGGAGGGTGCAGCTCAGACAGGGCCAGCGGGGACTCTAAAAGGTCCCGGAGGTTCAGAGCGAGGTCCCGGTGGAAGGGAACGGCCCAGTCGGAGAGGATGCTCTGCGAGGGACGGCTAGCTACCTGCAGCTGGGAGCAGGACAGGCTGCAGGCTGGCATGTGCGTCCATACCTGCAGGAGGAGAAAAAGAGCCCACATGAGTTGTGATGATGATAGCATGGCTGAGAGGAAGGTTCATCCTCTGCCTATGTCCAAGTTTTCATTTGAGCATCTGCAGTAAACCAGACTTGGACGTCATGAAGCAGAGTTTACACCCAGTCTCAAGTCGGACAGTTAAAAAAAAAAAACTTTTTAATGAGCTTTTTGCTGGAGCCATTCAGTGAACGGTACCAATAACAGTTTGACAGCATCAGTCTGGCAAAAAGTGAAGGTCTGCAAATCATAAGAACATGTTGCTCCTCCAAGAAAAGTGCAGCCATGGGTGGATGAGAGGTCTGTCGTTCAGAGGGTGCCCACGTCGACCGACGAGCTCCACAGCGTTAGAAAGGTTTTGAAGCTACCAAAGCAACGGATGAAATGATGATATCCAAACTGAATTTGCACTTTGTTAAGGGTTATCAATAGAGGTTAGAGGTGAACAGCATCCAGCTGGGTTACCTGTGAGGGTCTGACATAAAACAAAGCAATGAAGAAGAAAAAGAAAACAGCAGATGCCGCTGAAGAATTGGCCCTTCCAAGTGGCTTTACCCTACATTAACACTAAACATATGGAGCAGATAAATGCAAGTGGGATCAAAATCACTTTAAAAGATATCAAGAATTAATAGAAAATGCCTCACAAAATATCTGCATGCAACATTCCAAAGCCCAGGTTCTCCACACCTCTCCAGCGACGGCCTTTTAAAGAGTCTGAAGGAGAAAAATCAGGCAGTTTATTGTGCCGAACGAGGCTGTAATCCAAACTCGCAGCTTCCGAAAATGACAAAGAGCCTGTAACAAAGTCGGCAAAGCCTGTCAACTCAACAAAAAACACTTTCCATCCGCCCAATTCAAATCATATCTGTTGCTTGATGGCTAGTCCAGTGCAGTAACGTTGTATTCTCTGGACACAACCCGAGCCAGGCGTGTGTAAAAGGATTGGAAATGTATCCTGGGACATGAGAGGTGGGCTAATTGGAAGAGACCCCTCTCTGTCCTCCACAACTGATGAGCTGATGACAGGAGCTATGTGCTGCTGTCTGCCTTTAGATAGAGTTTCTGCCTTTTTAAACACAACACTCACCCAGTTATACAAGGAAGCTGTCAGACAGGCACTGGCTGACTAAAGTTACAGAGTATTGTCTGACTTTCCGTTAAACTAAGCCGACACCCCCGTGGCGCATCACAAATTAAATAACAGCGTGTGGGGGAATGGAAGCAAAAACATCCATTACGTACAAAGCCCGCGTTTAATCTTTTCATTTTATGGAATTATCACTTGAAAGTTGTTTTTTTTAAGATGGGACCTCTGCAGGAACACTAACCACCGAAGGTTAACCAGAAAATAGTGCATTCTTACCTTGGACAGAAGTTGCTAGTGGCGGCAAATCCAAACCTGTCGAACGTGCAACAAGTTCTTCTTCTATGATTTTTTAAATTATCATTATTATAGTTTTTAACAAGAATACGGGCATGTCATACCCTACGACAGGAGAAAACTATTATACCACCATCTGCAGAGGCACAGGTAACATCGACTTGTGGTCTTCAATCGGCTGCTGCCCGCAGGACCCGTCGCTTTGAAGTGCATCGCAGCTGTGTCTGGACAAATGACGCGTTCAGATGTGGTGGGAAATTCTACCTCACGGTCAAACTACATTGTTGAGAGCTTTCGTTCTGTAGTTTTTAAGCTTGAGGAGGAATATATACATAAATATTCATTTATATGCATAAACTGATAGACAGACAGACAGACAGACAGACAGACAGACAGACAGACAGACAGACAGATAGACAGATAGACAGATAGACAGATAGACAGATAGACAGATAGATAGATAGATAGATAGATAGATAGATAGATAGATAGATAGATAGATAGATAGATAGATAGATAGATAGATTTCGATATATTTAACCCAAAACCTTGCATTTGCACCCTTAGACCTACGGTCGTGTCTCCCATATAAACTGCAACTTGGCAAATTAAATGTATGCTTTAAATTTTACGAGAGCTATGAACGCACCACCCGTTTCAAAAAGCAACAGCTGGGTAGAAGGAGATCTACCAGCTGGTTACTCACGAGCGGAGGTCGCGCGCGCTAACAGCTGACGCGCAGGTCATAAGAAGATATAAAATTAAGAGGATTATTATAAGTAACAGTTCTTAAAAATTTCATTAATTGTTCCAGTAACATTTTAGGGTATTAATATAAACGCATACTAATTTCAGTGTTGGATTCATCTGCAGGAGTCAGAGGGATTAAACGTTTCGTAATTTTCATGAATTGTCCCTCGATGTCCTCCGTAGTCACTGGTAAAACATGGCTTCTTTTACCAGTAAAGCGTTTCTGTGCCTAGGTCAAACTAATATTCCAGCCTTTGGATTTAATAAAGCAGCAAGCAGACTTACATATGCCACGGCCTCGTCCATAAACCCTTCCACTGCAAATAGGGGTAAGTTTCACCAATACAAATCAGCTGTTTACATTAATTCAGAACCACTTGCACATGCTAAGCTAACTGTTCAGAGTGCAGCTATAGCATCCAAGTACGTCTTTTCTTGAGGTGAAGTGATGTTGCAGTGAGTATCTTATCTTGACAGACTTTGTTCACACGAGTAAACACGTTACAACAGTCTGAATTTGTCTAGCATCCTTTAAAGGGGGGATTGGGTAGTGTTTTACTGCTGTTGTTTGGGTCCACTTGTCTCGTAATAGGGCAAATTCACTGAGCATGCTAAATGAAGAAAACAATAGGTTTTGTGTTTGTTTGTTTGTATGTTTGTTTAAAGAGTTTAAACAGCAGGGGTGCTCTGTTGGTGTCTTATTGGAGATCACTTTTACTGTCTAAAAAGAGGTGGCACTCAGGATTGAACTTGGAATAAAATGTCCATTTTAGGTCTTCCAGACAGAGGTGGTCGTGGACCTCTTGGCAGAAGACCTAGAAGAGAAGTGAGTTTACAGTTTCTATGTCAGTTTTTCAAGTCTGATGAGAACAAGATCTGCATTTTCCACTGAAACGATCAATTATTTGACATAATGCACATATTTTACATGGTTACTTTAGGCAGGAGAGCCCAGAACAGAAAAGATGCCAGTGGATCAGGACTGGACGGCAGTTTATCCAGCAGCAACTCCCTTCAGGCCAAACGCCGTCCCCCTTCCTGTGAGGATGGGCTACCCCATCAATGGAGGCGTCCCTCCAGAGAAAAGGGGAAACCTGGAGCTGATTAAGGTTAGTTTTCATCACTCATGATGTGCTTTTTATCTATAGAAGGTAATATATACTTGTGATTATGAATAGAAAAATAGTTGCTGCATCAGATATTCTTTGGAAAGATGTTTATCTCATGCAGTTTAATTTGGGAAGCATATCTGTCTATTTACAGCCCAGCTGCTGTTATCCATGGGTAGCTGAATTCATTGTATCTTGTCAGTGCTTAAAAGCACTTATGGATTTCTGATGCCGGGCACTCGTGCTTACCTTTCCGCGTCCGGATTACTGAGCTGCTGTGTCCAGACGCCAGCTGCTCGAACTGGACTCGAGCCACTTGCAGATCCACTTCTTGCACTCGTCACAGCTGGAGCTCTGCCGAGCGTCAGTCTGCCACGACGAGCTAAACTGATGTCCGTGGCTTACAATTTATTTTTAATTATTCAGCTTCCAGCTGCCACTCAAAACAAAATTAGACTGTTTGTGCTTGTATCTGTTACACATGAAATCTTGATAGGGCTGGGGGTAAAAGGGGAGGGTGTATTATCTTATGAGTCCATAAGAAACCTCTTTGCATTAATGGGGTTGATTAAGGTTTTCACCTTTCTGTAAATCTAGTTATGTACAAAGCATTGATGTGCATTTCATTCATGTTACGGTTTGCTATTCCCAGACATTTTGGTGAAATGTATAACTTTCTTTTAAAAAGTCATATTCAGTAGTAACAGGGTGCTGGCAGGTTACATTAAAGTTTAAAAAAATTCAATAGGTTCATTTTGAACATTTTTATTATTATAACTTTTACCTCTTGTCAGTCAGTCTTATATATGATCCCCCTTCCATTATCTCTGTAAAGTCATATTTGCTTTTTCTATCCTCAAAAATGGTGTTTAATTTAACTAAATTGCATTTGGTAAAAATTCCTTGCCATGACTATATATTAAATAACAGTTTAGGTGTTTTTTTTAAATATGGATATTCAGACTTAATGGCATGATTTGTTGCCAAATTCTAATACTCATGATGTCGTTTTGTTTTTCTTTTTAATTTTTTTTTTTGCAACTTTACATTTTATCCTCAGAAAATCAATAATTGTGTACTCTAAGCTTACCATTAACCCAACATTAACCCTCTGTATAAATGTCTTGATGAGCAGTAAAACAATGTGTTTTTTTTAAATTTTATTTCAAACAATTTTGATGAATCCTTTCATTATGTTTCAGATTCCAAACTTTTTGCATTTGACCCCAGCAGCCATCAAGAAGCACTGCGAAGCTCTGAAAGGTAAGATCCTGGTTCAGTTCTCAACAAAATATGGGATTTCTGTCTTAATGTCTCAGTATGTTCACACAGTTGACTGAGAAACGACTCAGTTTGTTTTTTTTAAAGCCCTTTTTCTGCTTTCAGTTTTCTGCACAGAATGGCCCTCAGCTTTGGACACCGAAGCTAAATGCGATGAGCACTTTCCCATCAAAGTGGAAAGCACCGACTACGTCTCCGCCGGCCCTTCCCTCAGGAACCCCGCCGCCCGCGTCGTTAAGCTCCAAGTGAGTGCCCCCCTGCCATCTCATTTCTTTTCTCTACATTTGAAAACGTCTTGAAATGAGATTGTGCATGATGACCCGACTAACTGGGTTAGGTTAATGTATAGAACTGCAAAGAAACGTCCCATGTAACCAGAGATTACAGATTTGCACAATGACCACAACATCATGCCTGTGACTTATCTCCAGTCTTCACCAAGATTAGTCCTGAACAAGTATTTTTAAATTAAATAAAACGTGCTAGGGCATTGTTTGGACTCTTAAGAATCAATTATTTTTTTTCTATTTTTTTTATTGCTACAACTTTCATGTGGAATAGGAACAAAACATCCTTGGCATCGACATATCTGCTGAAACCTTTTAATATTCCTCTTAATCCCCCCTCCGCCACTAATCCATCAATATGCAATCCTCCTATCAGACTGAAGTCACACATGTAAACACATACACGGCACGCATTTCACAAAAGACCCCATAGAGAAAATGTATTATTGTGCCAAGGATGGAAAAGAGATGGACAAATGCCACAGATTTATTAAACGCTGATCCCTGTCCGGAGCTCCAGTTGGACAAAACACAGTTTTCACATTGGTATCAAAATCCCTCAATGGGTACATTTAGCCAAAGAAAGCCATCGTCATCAGTTTAACTTCTTTCCTTATTGTTACAAATGTTGACTAGTATTGGGTTCCCAATTTAAAAGGAAAAAATCCAATCTAGGGACACATAGGGAGGAATGTGTATTTGACAAACCCGGAATTTTCCCAGGCGCCAGTGTCATTTTGCCGTTAATCACCAGCCATCTGCTCCTCTGACACATTGCCTTAGATTATATCGGCAAGGTAGGAATTAGACATTAATCCAGGTGGATTAGGCTGGAAAATAGATTGGAGAGCAAATCGCACCCAGTCAGATAGTGAATCTAGAACAAGTGGAATAAGCTTGTATTCCTTTTAAAGACACAAAAATGCACCAAACCAATCACTGAAAGATGTAAATACTTCATGGGGCTTCTTTTAATTTGTCTGCCTTAATAATGCAGATGCGGAAGTCCGTCGGCCAGCTAGTTCAGGCCGGTCACATGAGCATAGAAGAAACTGACTCACTTTACCGTCCGCTTGTTTGCACAATACCCGGTGATGTCAGAGCAGGATGCATATGGCTTTTGCAGCATACCAATGTCTAAACTGATAAGTCAAAGAAATTAAAAGCGATGAAATCATGATTTCATAAGTTTCTTGACATTCCCCGCAGGGGGTGTGAAAGTGATTCAGGGTTACAGTCAAAGCTTTGCAAAGGTTAGACGGCAAAATGCGCCGCCTATCCCTTAAGTTAGAGACGTGGAAATGATTTCTGTGGGGATCTGTTGTCGTTGCCCTCCAAGATAAAGCTGTCGAGCCTGAACCTGGACGAACACGCGCGGAAGAAAATGCTCAAACTTGTTGGGGAGAGATACTGCAGAGATACCGACGTCCTCACCATCACAACAGACAGGTAAATGCAGCCTCCTGCAAAACAAGCGGCAGGCAGGAAAATCAACAAATGCCCCTTTTTTGGCCTTTTGTTTATTCTCTTTCTCCTCCTCCTTTGCACTAGCTGCCCTCTGAGACAGCAGAACTATGACTACGCCATGTACCTGCTAACTGTTCTCTACCATGAATCCTGGGTGAGTTTGAGTTGTTTTAGTTTTTTCTAACCATTTATGTATCAACTTGATCCCTGACCTAGCAGATAACCAGTTTATAAACGTATCTGTGAAGATTATCAGTCATCCAGGTCATGGTCAAGCTTGGAAAGTGTAGTTTAGGCAACTGGACGTGAATTTTTCTTGAAGACGTTTCGTCTCTCATCGAAGAGGCTTCATCAGGTGTAACTGATGGTGGGGAGCTGTGATATTAATATACTGTAGGTGTAACAAAAGAATTGGCAGGGAAATCAAAAACAAAAGGTGTCTCTGATCCCTCTACTGGATGGGCTATACACGCAGGAGTGTTAAGGGGGTTCTGATGGGTCGGTCAGTGGTTTTGGTCACATGCCTCTTTGAAGTGTGAGGGCAGGTGAGAAGGGAATCTTCTGGGTGTTGTTCCTAAAAGTGCTCTGTAAATAGGTGTCAGGTTGGGTCTACTGTAAGGCCACCTCCTCTGCTGAGTGATGGTTTATCCAAGTTAACAAAGATGGCTTCCTTAACCCCTCTCTCAAACCACCTGTCTTCCTTGGCCAAAATGTGGACGTTTTTGTCCTCAAAAGAGTGTCCTTTAGCCCTCAGGTGTAAGTGAACAGCTGAGTCCTGTCCTTAGAAGTAGGCCCTCCTGTGTTGAGCCGTGTAGCGGTTTCTAAACCCGTTTACACCTTATATTAACATCTTTCTAAGTAGATACTCCTGGCGACAGCTATTGGTGAGTGACACCTTATTTTACATGCAAACCTGAGTTACTGCATCATGGATTTTCAAAGACGTGCTGTTTTGGTATTCAATCAAGAGATGTTTTCCCCCCTCTCTGTCCTTTCTTTAATCAGGGACAGCTGTTTGCACCCATCACTCATACCGTTAACATTTGACCACTTTTATCTAAAGAGCCATTCAGTCAAATGCAGCTGAAACTGATACACTTTTAGATGTTGTGTTTCGAATAGTTCGGAGGGGTGGGTGGACTGCAGAGTCTTACTGTCCTTAGAGGTGGGTGCGCGTGATGAAAAACGCTGACATTTAGAGCTTCCTCGCAGCACGGCACAGCGCCTTTTTACCAGGGAGTCCTTGTCCATCTTCCCCCGCGATCTGAGAGAGCAAACCCATTAGGGAGGTATCGGAGTGGAACCAGTAGAACGTTGGCAAACAGTGGCCCCGGCAGGTTGACATTTTCCCCACCGATGGGTGAAAACCAGGCCCCCCTATCAGGTGTTGACCCCGACGCTCATTCACATTAGGCCCGCCGTGCCACATCAGAGAAGTCTGCCCCCCCCCCCAAACCCAATCCCCCGGGGGCTGTTCGAACGGATTCACAGCCAGCCGCGCGACAGAAAAATGAGTCAAGCTCTGTCTCCAGGAGCTCTTCCCGTCGCGGCCGAGTCGCGTTAGAGAAAACCCTCTCAGCCGAGGAAAAAGGTGTTCAAGCCAGGAAGCTCAACACTGTCCGCTGGCCTTTCGGGCGCACAATGGAAGGCACAGTGTTTGTCCAGCAGGCCTGTGGGAGACGTGAGAGTGGCACAGCGGGCAGGTTTGTAAGGCAAACCCACAAAGACGCCAATTGTTAGCGGGCACCGAGGTGATCATATCTCCCCACTTTGAGAAACGGGCTTCGCCTGCTAATTCCTGTGTGTGTTAATCCAGCGTCAGGGCTCACAGCCTTTCTCCAACACGAAGGAGTGTTTACCGTCATGCCCAACACCTGTCCTTTCAACACACACACACAAAGAATGTTTGGATGGTACATGAACTCCATTATGAATACAGGTGGCCTTCCGTCCACTGGCAGGTCACCAGGAACACTGAGTTTATGGATCCAGACTGCGGCCAGAACTCAAACGTTGCTTTATTTAATTTAAACACAGTGCGACTTAAGTTTCCTTCTGAGAGAGCCAGGCAGCAAGAGAACTAGTTAATAGTTTTAATGACAAAGTCAGTCTTTGTGGGTACATTTTGAAATATTTTCCATCTGCATTTTAAAGAAAGCATTTTAAAACAAATGTTCCCGTCAGAAAATGGAGGCGTGGGAGGCTGAAAAGACCGTGGCAGACATGGAGGAGTACCACTGGGAGGACAGCCCGTCCCAAAAGAACCTCTTGGACATGCTGCTGCGCATGAAAGCGGTCACGGAGGGAGAGGAGGAGGAAATACGAGAGCAGCTGCTGGGAAGCAGCGAGGTTCAGGAGTATAAGGACTCAGTCATTCGGCTGAAAAACGAAGGGGAGAGCGAAAGCAGCATGCTGCAGTACAAGGAGGCCGTCAAGAAAGTGTTAAACCTGTAATACAACTTAATGTGTTTACATTAAGATGGAAAAAAAATACACATATTTGCCCCCCAGCTCCATCATAGTACTATAAGTGTGATATTTGCCTGTAACTGCGTCCATGTGGAAATAATAAGCAGTATTTATTTTCAGAAATGAATTTTCTGTCATCAGTTATATGATTGTTTTCCTTTTTAATGGCAAAAAATAAAAGAATAATCAAAGCCTTTGAGTGTTTTTAGGTTTCTGTGTATAATGCATCTATTTGATAAAATCCTCAGCATCATCAAGGTGAAAGAGCAACCCCCCCCCCTCCCCTGCAAGCTAACGAACACTACTTCACTCTGTTTTTTTCCATTGTTTTTACACTGTTAGGTCAAAGGTAACCCTCTGTACTGAGGAGATGTGCGGCATGGTGTAAATATGGAAGACGGGCGCCATCCGTATGTTAACTACGAAGCGGCGTGGTAATGTCCAGCTAAATGGGGGCAGACTGACTTTCTGGCAGGCTTTGGGCCGCTCTCGTGTCCCAATCCACCTACGGCGAAGCGTTTAGCTCGTCCCTATAGCAACGATAGACTCTGCGTGGCTAGCTTCCAAGTCAGGAGTTCTCCCTGACCAGCACATACTTAATCAGCCGCATGGAGCCTCTCTTCCTTCTCCACGATGTCCGGTAGCGTCCCATCCTCTTCTTCTGACCCCTCCAGCTCACCACCAGCAGCAGAGAGCAGCAGCAGCTCAGCAGCACGGTGACGCAAACGGCCACGGCCACCATTAAGGTGTGAGCGGCCACGTGCCAGCCGGGGCCCAGCTCCACTACGGGCTCCTCTCCTCCTCCTCCTCCTCCTCCATCGTCTCCCTCATTTCCTGTGGTGTGGTTAGTCGCCAGGTTGGCCTGAGTGGTGGCGGTCAAAGGGCCTTTGACTTCCTGAGGGGAGGTGGCGGTGCGATGGGGGTCGGATATGGACGGGAATGGCCGTTCGGTTGTAGTAGGAACCGGGGGAAGATCCTCGGAGCTGTGGTGGCCGGAGGCGGCAGATAAAGGCGACGGAGTAAAGGCGGATGTGGTCGTGGTCGTGGATGCTGTTTGCGTGAGCCTTCCTGAGGACGGTGGAGTTTTTTTAGCCGGGGACCACGCGGTGGAGGAAACCGTTCTGGGAGCGGAGGCACTCCGCTGCCCCGGGGTGGCGTGGGCCGTACTCACTGGACCGGAGGGTTTGACCGACGGCGGCGGGGTCAGAGGCCCCGCCGCGGGGGGAGGGGGGTGGACGAACTGCCGCTTGTCCGAGGGCAGCGGGTCGGAGGCGTTGACCCGGGTGTAATGGTGGGGCAACACACGCACGTTGGATGTGAAGTATTTCCCAAATACCAACAAATCCGGATCCACCCCTGGAAAACAAGATATTTTGGAATGTTTGCAGTTCTTTTCTGAGGTTTTGTCATGCTGGTGCTGGAAGATACACTGACTCTTTTTAAACCCTTAACCTTAATAACAAAGAAAAAAAAAACCTATTCAACTATTGTTTCTAAAAGCATATAAGTGATGGATCAAGTGCTGCTTACACACAATCCAATGCCAGACCACATCCAGTGTGTTTGTTAAGAAAACACACGGGCAAATCATGTAAGGACCTAAAGTGGCTTACCTTGTGTGATGTTGTACAGAACTACGTTGCTTTTTTGACGCAGAATGCAGCTCTCCAGCGTTGGACAGTTCAGGTGGATGCAGTTTACGTTTTCTTGAATGGCATCATAGTGAAACACGGCCAGGTTACAGGAAACTGCAAGAGAGGGGAGTCGACAGCGGGCCGCAAAAGAGAGAAGGGTCAAGCTTAAACGAGGTTTATTCCAACTAATGATTTTAAAAAATGGGATAAGGGAGAAGCGGCTCACTGTTTCTCGTAAGGCAACAGGTGCGGCTGCATTTCAGCGCGCTCTCCTCCTGGTAAAACCTCAGCATCTGCGCTCCTCTCCTCTGAGACTCCTCGATATCGACGAAAATCCCCGGGAACCGCCGAATCCAGCAGCTTTTGTAATAACTGGTGGGTGAGCACCTCGACTCAGCGTAGCACACCAGGCTCAGAACAGCCAGAAAACCCCGCGGAACATTCATTGCGCATAATTTAAATTCCGCCGTGTTAACCAAAAAATAAATAAATAAATCATTCAACGACGTGGACGGTGCGGGCACGTACTTCAGGAGACTGATTAGTTGGAGCTGACAGGCATGAAGGTGGAGCAGGTTGTTTTACAGGTGCCTCCAGGTGTGTTTCAGCCGAAGAGGTGGAGACACAGCCGTGCGTAAAAGGCTCAACGGTGCGCACGTTCACCTGACTCCACAGCCAAAGCTGCGCCACAACTCATTGAACCAGATGGCAGTATAAACATTACGCCAAATCAGTGATCATGCAGGTATTTCTTTTCACGGGTAGGCTGAACGGAGTGGCATCGTACTGTTGGATTTGGAAAAGCTCAAAAGAGAACAACAAGGCCCGACCTCTCAAAGTGGATTGCCAGAATTGTTGCAATCTCTCTCAGTTCTTTCAAACTGGATTATCAGAATAAGCCTTTTGCTTCTCTGGGTTGTGCTACAATTGTGTCCTCTTCACTGCTACATTCTTAGTTTACAGCTTTTTTGGATAAAGAGCTTAAAGGGAGAATAAAGACTTGGGGATTTTAATGAATATTTTAACTGTTTGACAATTAGATTAATGAAACCGTGCCTTTGGAAATGACAGAATACTGAGAAGTTTGTTTACACCAAAAGGATAATGTGGGTGTAAAGTTTTTGTTGTTAACCTCTGCAAAATGGGAGTAAAAAAGAATTAGAAAAAAAGAAGTTACCAAACATGTCAAAAGTCTAAGTTATTTGCCAGAACCTTCCCACAACCCAAGCGTAGTATTTGGAACAGACACTGGCAGGTCAAATGGGGACACACTGCAGTGTAGTTTTCATGTAAAGTTCTCTCTCCAGTGCAATATCTCTCAAAAAATGTTGACAATCCCAATTCCTCCTATTGACCCCAGCTCTCTGTTTTTGTAAGCATGAACTTCCCCTCTTCTGGAGGGGATTAAAGATCAGTGGTGATCTATCTCTTCATCCGAGGCTCTGGGAGTATTCCGATTGCTTTATGAGCAGTCCTCCCTGACTCCAAAGAGACAATTTTCATCCACAAACACAAGAATAAGGTTATGGAGAGGATTTGGGATTGGGTCATAAAGCTTTTTTTTTTAAAGAGAAAGAAAGAAAAACGTGTAAGGATGACTAAACACCACCACCAGATGGCAACAAACACTTCCAAGTTGGTGAAGTCTCAACATTGCATAATGCAAGTTTCTCCCCCTTTTCATTTCTTTCCAATAGAGATTTACTTTGAATGAACCGTAAGAAATAATGTGTTAAAAATGTATATTACCCAAACTGGATTTTGACTTGGTGCTGGCAAAATACAAATTTGATACCTAATTAAGCCTTTTGTATGTTTTATAATCAGATTCAACAAGGGACTTGGATAATTTCTTATATAGAATCTGTCTCACTTTTAAAAACATTTCTTAACTTTTGGACATGCTGTAACAATGACATTTAAAGAATAATGATTGTACTGTAGGTTAATCTAAACAGTACCTTAGCAGCATTTGGGTTAGTTGTATTTTCTTACAGCTGGAACCAGCCCCAGCCCTTCCTCTGTGTACTACATTGTGAGGCAATGGGGTGCATGTCAACCAGTTTTAAACACGAAGTGCCCAAATGTAAATTTGTGTTTTTCACTTGATACCAACCTGTTGAGAACGTGGCCATAACTATGGATCAATAACCCATAGCATGTGCCAATGGCTTTGAGCTCAATTATATCACATTGAGGCTGTTTTTGTGTGTGTGTGTGTGTGTGTGTGTGTGTGTATTTGAGTTCATGCCATGTCTTACCAATGGGTTTCAACCAGGCTTAACAAAACCCAGGAACAGTGAAGAGTTATGTAAGAAACCTTTGTATTCTCATCTGACACTTCAGGGCAGGTTACATAAGCAGACGACTTCTGTAATCATCTTACAAATCTCAATCTGGTTCAAGTTAGAAGTGTTATTATGTGCCTTGTGTTGTAGTCAGACAGTTGTCGATCAAAGACAATAAGACAATACAAGTAACATTCAACAATAAACATCAAACAAAGTGAATACAATAGCTCTTTTAAATCAGTTCAGCCACTTCCCGTAACTCTGCTGAGAGGAGATGGATGTAGCACTGTACAGAATTACGCAAATGCTCACAAAACACAAAACATTGGCATCAAAGGTGATATTCAATGGATGTACAAAAGAGGGATCCACAATCTGCCCCCCCCCGCCCCACCCCCACCCGCTGTGATATCCAGGTTAAGTCACTAGATGGCAAACTCCTCCGTCCCAAACATCCCCTGCACATGCACGAGTGTAAAAGAATCTAAATTAAAAACAAACTCTATTAAAATGAGATGAAGAACACCACCATTGACAACTCTCTCATGCAGGTTTTGCCGGCCACGTTTGGCACCTTTGGTATAGTGACCACAGTGTTTGATGGCCTTCCTTTTTTTTTTTTGTTTCTTCTTCTTGCCACTTCTCACACACAGAGCCTGTTTTGCCCACCAGAGTCCCAAATCCGCCTCCCATTCCTCAGCAAGCAGCAGTGTTCCTGCGCGCCCGTGCTTCTCCGGGCTCCCGACCGACCCCCACCCACTTCAGCCTTAAGCTCAAGGAAGCAGTAGTCTTATGTTTGGTGTTGTTGCTCACTGACGTGCTACAAAGTGCCCAGAGCTGGCGAGCTCCAACTGTGCAGCCGGGTCAGTCTTTGACGAGCCTGTAGATGTGATGCTGCGCCCCGTGCTCGCTGGTGGACACCTCAAAGACGTAAGCTATGCACAGCAGGGTCTCCAGAGTGTCCCTGTTTGTCACCACCTGAAGACAAACACACAAGGTGCATTTCAGTTTGAATGCAAGGGTGATATTTGTGGAAAACGTATATTTTTTGTCTTGTGTATTTGATGGTTATGGCGTAGGAGTGGATCTCTGCTCTAAAGCTGATTTGAAAACGTGCCAATTAGATTGCATTCGCATTGGAAAACACAAGGCTGATGTCAAGTCAATTGTAGTACTGATACCATCACCCAACCCCATCGCTTCGATATGCTTTTTTTGAGTTGCATTGAATGCATCACTTGTCGCCACAGGAACACTGATTCACTGTGCTCAGCAGGGCAGTGCAAAACATCTCCACGTATTCGTATGTTTCTAATCTGTCCACGGATAATAATCAGTCCATTGAGACACCTAATGGACACGTTGCCATGTGGTGGTGAGCGTGGGTTCAGTATGGTCGTTGTTCCCCGGCCGGTTTCTACAGGAATGCAAGCCGTCAATAAGAAAGAACACAAATTTCTTTGAACCCTGTTGTTGAGGTCTTCTCCGTTACTATGGCGACACGATCCACTTTCCTGCCAGCGTCCGTTGTTCTGACGAGCACAGCGGCTCATTGAGAAAAAGTCAGGTTTAGTGCTGAATGGACAGAACGGGGCCGTGAGAAACGGTAAAAGCCCCACCAGATGTTAGCCGGCTGTCACAGCTGTCTGTGGCTATTATGCATGCAAAGGACACGGCTACTGAAACCAGGAGATATCCCGCCCCATACGCAGGCGCAGCATCCCTGTGGCCCTATTGCTTCATCACATCATAGTGAGAATAATCCAAATATGGTAACAATGAAGGACAATTACTGTCATATTTTAATGTGTGTTTTTAAGGCCGACTCAGCTGTTTATGCCAGATTTATCCAAAAGATCTTACCATAGTTTACAATGTATTACTGAGTTGGTGTAGATTACCTGCTTGATAGTAAGGTTCTTAAAATAATTCCAGAAGGAACATTTAAGTTATTCCTCCTCTGCTGCAAGTTAAAGTTAACAGAATCAGTTGTGGCCTCACTTACAGTCTTATTTAGAGAGGTACCACATCTCAACTATGGATTCAGACATGTTTTCTGACTGTGTATTTGTGTGCCTTATTCCATAGCCAAATAAAAGTAGCCTGTAAACATCTGAATCCCACAACAAACAAAACATTGTTTTTGTAAGTGAAGAATTGAATGACGAATTTAATTTGACTGAAATGTTAAGATATCAGACTATTATTTTTGTGTGTTTTCAAACATGTGACACAAAAACTGGAAAATAACACACAACCCTTGTGTCTTCTTTAGGAGTTAGCTCAGAAAATATGGCATTCAGTTAGCCACGGCGGTACCAGCACAACAACCCAGGCCCCACCCAAATTAAACCTCTAATCCCATGGCATTAACTGTCCCTCATAAGTGGTTGTTTAAAACTCTTATTGTGATTTTCTCTTTTGCTGTAAGCAGCAAATTCCCAACAGTAGTGATATAGTTCAGCTAAGTTAATAGACTAATAAACTAATGCTCTAACAATACACTGGCTGTTACACTATATTGCCAAAAGTATTTGCTCACCCATCCAAATTATCGGAATCAGGTGTTCCAATCACTTCCATGGCCACAGGTGTATAAATTCAAGCACCTAGGCATGCAGACTGTTTTTACAAACATTTGTGAAAGAATGGGTCGCTCTCAGGAGCTCAGTGAATTCCAGCGTGGAACTGTGATAGGATGCCACCTGTGCAACAAATCCAGTCGTGAAATTTCCTCGCTCCTAAATATTCCACAGTCAACTGTCAGCTGTATTATAAGAAAATGGAAGTGTTTGGGAACGACAGCAACTCAGCCACGAAGTGGTAGGCCACGTAAACTGACGGAGCGGGGTCAGCGGATGCTGACGCGCATAGTGCGAAGAGGTCGCCAACTTTCTGCAGAGTCAATCACTACAGACCTCCAAACTTCATGTGGCCTTCAGATTAGCTCAAGAACAGTGCGCAGAGAGCTTCATGGAATGGGTTTCCATGGTCGAGCAGCTGCATCCAAGCCATACATCACCAAGTGCAATGCAAAGCGTCGGATGCGGTGGTGTAAAGCACGCCGCCACTGGACTCTAGAGCAGTGGAGACGCGTTCTCTGGAGTGACGAATCGCGCTTCTCCATCTGGCAATCTGATGGACGGGTCTGGGTTTGGCGGTTGCCAGGAGAACGGTACTTGTCTGACTGCATTGTGCCAAGTGTAAAGTTTGGTGGAGGGGGGATTATGGTGTGGGGTTGTTTTTCAGGAGCTGGGCTTGGCCCCTTAGTTCCAGTGAAAGGAACTCTGAATGCTTCAGCATACCAAGACATTTTGGACAATTCCATGCTCCCAACTTTGTGGGAACAGTTTGGAGCTGGCCCCTTCCTCTTCCAACATGACTGTGCACCAGTGCACAAAGCAAGGTCCATAAAGACATGGATGACAGAGTCTGGTGTGGATGAACTTGACTGGCCTGCACAGAGTCCTGACCTCAACCCGATAGAACACCTTTGGGATGAATTAGAGCGGAGACTGAGAGCCAGGCCTTCTCGTCCAACATCAGTGTGCGACCTCACAAATGCGCTTCTGGAAGAATGGTCAAAAATTCCCATAAACACACTCCTAAACCTTGTGGACAGCCTTCCCAGAAGAGTTGAAGCTGTTCTAGCTGCAAAGGGTGGACCGACGTCATATTGAACCCTATGGATTAGGAACGGGATGTCACTTAAGCTCATATGTGAGTCAAGGCAGGTGAGCAAATACTTTTGGCAATATAGTGTATGTTGTATCGTATTAAAGAAATCTGTCTTCTTGTTGGCACTTTCCCTTTTTTTCCCCATGGGTGGGGGAAATAGTGATCAAAACCAGCTGTCAAAAGAAAGACATGACTTTTACTGTAAAAACGCCAGTCAGACATTTTCTTATCTATATTTTTCTATTCATGTGAATCTGTTTGGACCATTCGACGCAGTCGAACACGAACAAGGCCTTTCCGTTGGGTTCAGTGTTTTTTTGTTGTAAATACACACTTTGTGTCTAGTCAAAAAAGCAGACCTACTTGGGAACTATCGCTGTATACAGATACAGATGTTGAAACACGGGAATAGACTTAAAAGTTGTAAATGTAAAATCATCATGCAGAAACAATACGCCCCCCATGGCAGTGTGCACCTGTAGGATTGTGAAGTTCTCCAGCACGCTGTTCATCATGTATTTCTCAGGCAGGTGTTTAAGCTTGTGGATGAAATTGATCATGTATTCACACAATGGGGATCGGTGGATCCGGAACACATAGCGCCCATTCTCAAAGCGTGCATACTCCGTCTGGAAAAGAAAGGACATGCGAGTGAGTGATCCAGCATCTAAGAGCATATGGTATATACTGAAAGAAATGTTGATACACCATTTAAGGGTTTACACAATCTGTTCAAAAGCAAACAAAACAAAAAGAAAAACACAAGGACATATGTTCCAGTGGAACTCAAATGGATTCATTCGATCTATGTGATAAGCTGTAATATGAGTAATGCAATATAACTAATGCAGCATATGGCGTGCCACATTTGACAATAATATTTCTTGTGACAACTATAATCAAATAATGAAGCTATTAAATATCATCATGAGGCCTAGTGAGGCAGATGGCTCTACCAAGGGATATGTGTGTGTATGCGTTTATATTGTACAATCCATCCGCGGCGGGTGGGGGCAGGGCGATGACTGGGTATACTTAACGGGAAATATAGGAGTTCTTCAGGCTGGGGGAGATTTGTGAAACAGTTTCCTGACCACAGATCACTGGTAACTGACTGGAAGCTCTCTCAACCAGTAGCAGTTATTCATTCAATGAGACATTAGAGGGTTTTGATGTGGTCATGACCCCTTTAATGTTGAAATATCACTCCTTTATTAGCCAACCATTTAAATAGAATACTGCATATGACTCAAGTCTTAGAAGTGCTCCCAATCCCAAACAGCATGTGTCAGCTTGACTGTTGCTGTCATGTGTTTACAATAATTCTGAAAACTGCATATTGTCTTATTTATTCTCCCAAGAATGTAGAAAATCCCACAATCAGCTGGAAAGAAAGAGCTGTTAAATTGCTGAAGCTCAAATCCTTTTTTTTGTTTGTTTTTGTTTTGATAACTCTGTTTCCACAGTTGCTGATTGCGACCTTGATTACAAGATTACAAATGATGACAATCTGGTTTTGATTGTCTGATTTTCCTCTTCATGACACCTTTAAAAAAAAACACAGATCTGAACTAAATTCATACATGTGTTGTAAAGAATGCCGAATAAGTTCCTCTTTAAATAGCCTTACAAAAAAATGTTGGTCCTCTACGAAAATATGTTTCTCTAATGTTATACTCTACGCCTTACAGGATTCCACAATATGTTTCCGCATTAATACCTTCACACATGCACAGATCACCCATGCTGTGAACACTAATGAATCTAAATCCAATCAGTGATGACAGCTTTTGTATCTTTTTGATGCGTAGTTTATCCTTGCACTGAAAAACAAATGTTAACATCCAGACCAAAAGTTGGTTGGTTGCTTTTATACCCAATCCTTACACCCTCAACTGTCACCAGCTAACCAATACAATCTCCAAGAAAAGTGTCACCCATAAAACATTCTTTTTGCTTTCCTTCACTACTCATAAAATGTTATGTTTGTTACTTGGATCAAATTCTAGATGTGTTTATATATTTTAAACACAGCTGGTCTTTGAGTACAGTGAAATTATTTTGAGCTTTTGTCTGTTAACTGAAGTTTTAAACTTTCTGAAAAAATCCAGGATGATATTGTTGCCTCACCTCCACTTTCTCTACCACCTGTTTGCCAAAGGAGCAGACTTTGGTGGATGAGGTGATGACCATGCTCTCAGAGCTTTCATACTGGCTGGACACACCATAGAAGAAGCTGCTGTCATCCTGCAGGTTCACACTGAGGTCCGCCTTAAAGGAAAAAGAAACATGTCAGGATCAACAAAACCGCAATAGATGTGTCAGTCTGACGGAGAGGAATCATATTGTATAGTGTTGGATACAAATGAACAAATGAATACCTTTAAATACCTTTCAATGGAGGGTATGAATGAAATTTCTTTATTCTAGAGGACAAACTTCTTATCCTCTAAGCTTGAAATCAGTTCACACATTTTTCTTGACATTCAGAACTCAAAAAGATGTTCTGATTAAACTGTAATTCAAATGATCAAATCCGTGCTAAACAGGCACAGCCCTGAAGCTACAGTATGTCAACCTTGAGGTTCCAAATATGATCTGCATCTAAATGTAAGTGAAAGTATCTTCATACAATGGTTATCCGCACATATTTTGCACATTTATGGTTGATTCAATAAGCATTGTGCTCAGTTCTTTGTGAAAGCTAAAAGCGACATTGAAAAGCAGGAAGCACAATAGTTTACTTGCTCATAAAAGACAGCAACATCTGCCTTGTTGTGGGTCAGTTTCCACACGTGACGCCTTTTAGAAAAACAACTGAAACTAATGGAATGCCAAACACTCAAATGTTGAACTTTGTAAGACGAAAATATGCCCACACAAGTTTCATTTAAAGGCAGCCAAGAGAAATGTTTTCTTATATTCAGGTAAAAAGCACATTTAGCCATCTCTCATCCTCCCGCTGGTTCGACTTTGAATCGAGGCGAGTATAATCAGATTCTGGACGAGAAAAAGGTGCCGTCTGCTCTGTCAGACAGCTGAGCTGTTTTACCTTTTCCCCTGTCGGGTTCTGCTCTTCTAATGGGCCATTGAGACACCGCTCAGCCTGCTCTCATCTCTTCATCTTCCCGTTTGTCTTCATCCCATGCCCATGTAATTCCTCTATTTGTCTTCATCCCTGGGGCCTAGTGACCCTCCCTAAACCGCCATTCCCTGCTTCCCTAACAGCCTGCGAGGGAATTCATCCAATTACAATCAGCAGCGTGCAATTGGCTGATTAGATCACGGTGGGCTGGCTGGCTGTGTAACAATTTAGCAGGGCCGGCTCAAATCGGATTCCCCCCGCACTTCAAAGGCGTGAGACAATCCGTTAAGGACAGGGCCACAGGCGCTGGGGAAGGGGGGGGGATGGAGGGAGGGAGTGGCCACTAGGGGGGTTTGCTGGAAATTCAATCTAGACGACCATAGCTTCGGAGGCGGGTCAGCCGCCTGTCACCGTCTCCATGCCAACCTGCGCCGCAGCACACCCCCCCAAGTCACGACCCGCCCTGCGGCTGTGTGGCAGCAGCAGCATCAGAGAGGCCGTTCGCATTTTTTATGACGCCACAAACGAGGTTATTGTATTTTCGGAGGTGTCAAGGATTTCATTTAACTTATTTCCATGGCCGTGAGCGCCTCGGCCTGTTGTTGTTGTTTTTGTGTTCTTCCCCCTCCCCACTGCGGATGTTGAAATGCCCAGCTGTTTCGGAGCATTTCTGTGTTTTGCAACGGATGCCTTGTGAATTGGACGACCCCCTTGGGATATGATATGATGAGCAAACCGAGGGGGGGGGGACAGTGTTATGAGCTTATTTTCCTCGCAGTGGAGCTGCGTATGTCATAACCGTTGACTCCACCAGGCTCTGACATGCTTCAAGAGAGTATTATTTCATTGATGAATGACTCGCGGGTTACGTGCCACCCGGCATTTCTCCTGCCGTCTCTACCTCTTGTTCACGCCGTCCATGTCCCTATTTGTGTGTCCTGCTCTTTATTGCTGTCTTGGTCTCCTTTTCTTTATGATATACGACGTGGTTACCCCTCCTTCCACTAACCCCGGAATCAAATGCCACGGTTCCGCCAGCTGCTCTTCCCAAGGACCAAAGAAAACCATTTCCAACTCGGTGCCACTCACCAATGTCTTTTATCTGCACATAATAAATAATGTGGAAGTCAAGCATGTGAGAAAACTAATACCACACATACAAAGCTACAGTATCTGCTGGTATGAGACGCGAGGCGGCCCTTTGAACTTGACATTCAAAGCCGTTGGTTCCTCAGACCACAGCAGTAAAAGCCAGACTTTACTGTTTATCAGCGTTACGGGTCACCTTTGGCCTCGAGATATTCAGACAAAAAAGAGGGTCAGTCGCGTTTTAATGTCGCTCACCCCACTGTCACACCACGCTGTCCTGTGCTAACATTTGTGGTAGTAATGTTTCGGGACTGAAGTACCGGTTTGACATCGTTCTTCAACATGGAAGGTTCACGTGTCCCCACTTCAGACGGAGTGGGATGATAACCTGTCACAACTTCGTCGGGCTTTCATGAATATGAGGGGGCACATCCTCGGGACCTGAGCCGAGTCTGTCTGTTAATTTTGCTACATTTGAGTTGATGGACATCTGAAAAAATACCCCACTCAAGCATGAAGACATACCAAGTTTATTCTCTTTGCGCCCATTTTCACGTTCTTTACTCGGATTGTCCAACTCTTTCAAAGGGATATCCCACACACACACACACCCGCCATCTAACTATATCCTTTGTTGACTTTACTCTCTTATCACTCTCCCAGTGTGTAACGACAAATCGAGACTGTAGCGTTGTTGTCTGCGTGCATGCAAGTGGGGCGGTGGGGGCGTGGTTTATCTATAAATAAGAATAAGTTGGGGAGGAGGGGGGGGAGGAGGCTTGGAATCAGTCTAATAGTGCAGAGACAGGTGTCTGAGATCACATTTCTCCTAGTGAAAGATCAGGCCTGCCACTCTTCCCAAGGCTGTTGTCACACACTCACATCGCAGACGTATACAAATACAGCCATGGCAAAGGCCCACGGCGCAGCAATGTCCACTCTGCCGGCATATGAACCGCCCGTAAGGTCAGCGCGGCAAAGACTTTCCATCCATTCTGGCACTAAATCGCCCTTAAGTTTCTTTACCTTCATTACTTAAGCTGCCTCACGTAGTTAACACCGCTAGGCCATTAACAGTCAACAGGTGCCGGGAAACATTAACAGAAGTATGTGCTGTACGCTCAATTTACCCTCATGACATGGGTTTTTTTAAAATCTTGTCACAGATAGAACAACAGACTGAGTTTTGCATAATGTACAAAAAGACGGCTTTTCTATTAAATGATCAATCTACCACGTGAGAGTATATGAGAAAGACTAAAAAAATCAAATAAAAAAAAGGACAACTGCCAGCTTCGGTGAAGCCGCAGAATGGAAAAATGACAAATGCATCAGCGTTTTACCCAGAACTTGACGAGGAAGAAAGCGTTGTGCGGCCCTTTGTCAAACAGCTCTTTCAGGCCGCCTTTCTTTTCCGGGAACTTGTCATAGATCTGCCTGATGTCCACCGACTCCAGATAGGGGTCACTGTAGCTCGGGTTGGACTGGCCGATGTGAACAAACAGGTGCTTGTTGAACTGGAGAGACAAAAGTGCAAATCAGGAGACAAATGCAACCAAAAATGATAAACAGCTTGTTCTGGATTTTCTCTAGGGCATTGCTTTATTCACCCTGCCATAGAATTAAATCTTTGAGAAGTATGGTCCTTTTCACAGAAGCTGTGTAACATTAATAATTCATTTGCCTCTAAAAGATAAAGTTCTCTTTAATCACTGACACGTCCATCTTTGTTTTTGTTTAGGCCTGTCAAAATTCTCTTTAGTGTAGCAAGCCCATGGAGGCTGTGTAAAACACTGAGCCTAGGATGTTGACGACTAAAATAAACTTTTCAAGGGGGCTGATTTTACTACGGTAACAGTGTAGTTATGAATAAAACAGAACGTGATGTTTATTCCGCCTGACAACATCACCTCTGCACTCAGAAGAGAAAAGTGGAACTTTAACAAGAGTTAAATATTTCTCTGCATATTGTCCCAGAACAATTCATACCAAGCTAGCAAAGGGAAGATGATACAGTTAGAATGGAAGTTAATTTATCTCAAATGCTAAGGAAAGTGATGCAGCTAATTAATCATCATGGAAAGTTTTAGAAGAGTCCTTTAGTTTTGCATTTTAAATACATATATCTAAGATCAGAGCCCCATTAACACACGATCACATGTGCAAACAACCCGCCCCTCCTCTACGTGTGTGCGTCTGTCCTTTGACGTGTTCGCAGCAGCCCACACTCGTACCGTGTTGAAAGTGATATGCATGTTACCAGGTCCAACCAAGGTAGATTTCAAACTCGTGGAAAAGCATCAGAGGGATAACTCATAAATAACACCGATGCATTCATTTCCCAACAGATGAATGGAAAGCAGTGACTGTGTAAAATTGGACTTAGCAGTTCAGCCTGCACAGTAAACACATTCACAGTTGGCCGTAATACGGTTTGCTCACAAATGATTAGCATAGTACGCAACAACAGGAATGCATAAAAAATGTTTTTTTATCTACAGCTGCAGCAAATGTAATAACGCCACCATCTCAATAAAGTTCTAAGGTTTGAAATACTGTGAATAAAGTGATTACAAGTGACAGACGCTTTTTCAAAATGTTTTTTATTATTATTATTTCAATTGAATTTAGCTTTTTAAGTTCCTTGTCAGCTGGCAGACTTAACTAAAGTAAGGTATATGAGTCGTTGGATGGATGAACAGTCAGTGAAGCCTCCAGTGGACTCACGGTCTCTGGGTCCTGAGGTTGCTCCAGGAAGGCGGAGAACTCCAGCATTCGGAGCTTTGAGCTGGCAATACTTCTGCCCAGCCAAGGGGGGGCACCAGGAGACATGGACAGCCCTGCTGTGCTTTCGTAACCTGCCGAGGAGACGGAACATGCCAGTGTGCTGTTCGACTGTGGCCACGTTTCGGCTCGAAAATGCACCAAAACCGTAGGTATTTCTCAGAGCTTTGCCCGACCCGTGCCATAATGAACCGGGTCGTCCGCTCACTTTGCTGATGGCCGCCGTCTGTCAACACGTAAGAGTAGAGAAACAGCACCCACCTGTTATGGGGGCCGGGCCGGACGCTTGCATGGCATAACTCTGCTGGGAGAAAGGCTTAATGCTGGGGAGAGGAGGCGGACAAGAGAGGGAGAGGCATGTTAGGCTTCGTCTCAGCTTCATGACCCCATCTCATGTACTAATTGGAGCGCCTGACCTCCAAAGACGCAGGGGGCAGAGTGGTATGCCGAATGTCAGACAGCTGAAGACTTTTCCTTCTAATTGCACTGATATGTTTTGATTTGTTCTGAAATTCATTCCCTGGCTGAAATCTATCTGATAGTTATTAAGCTGATCACATGAGAAACCACTGACGGACGGCACTGTAGGGCAGAGAGAAAAAAGCCACTTACTCTTCATGGCCCCCTGGCTGACCGGGAAGCGCCCCGTGCCAAAACTGGGAAAAACACGAGAGAGCAAACTAAACAAATCTGGTTCAACTTGACAGCAGTTATCACAAAACTAACAATGAATTCTGAGATGCAAACTTGAAAACACATGGAGCTCTAACGCTTTGTATTTAAAAGATAATAAGTTCTTTTTTTCCAATAAATAAAACTGTGCAATCAACGTAATAGGAAAAACATGTCAGACAGGCTTACCTAACCCTAACCTAAATGTACTGAGGAGGAAATCCATCAAATGTGTATAACTCTGACCAACTGAGCAATGGCAGCCCAACCAGTAAGGTATTAGGCGAGTGTTGGAATAAACAATGATGAGAAACATATTCTTATTATAGACTTATGTGGACTAATTAAAAAGAGTTCAGTATGTTTGGGACTTTGGTAAAACACTCACACCACCACCAGTGGGGTAAGCTGGTCTAGAGAGGCCCTGGAGAGCCATCTTGTTCTGGAAGGCCGTGGGTGAGATGATCTGAGCCGAGGACATGGTGGCCATGCTCTGGAGGGCCTTGTCTTTGGCCGCCTGATCCTGTGGAGAGGGACAGACAGCGAGCGTAAGGCAAACCAACAAAAGGGACAGCGCTAATCAGACTCCATTTAAGTCAACAGCCCTCCGCGCCGTTAATATAAGCAGAGCCCTATAAGGGGAAATGAGAGGCCGAGGCCATCTTGCATCATCAGTGGTTCCCTGCCAGGCAGAGAGGCTGGAGAGAAGGTGATATTACAGTCAAGGACCTTTGGGTCAAGAGTTAAGTTTATTGCTTTGGCAGGGGCAAGCCAGCGATGACAACTAGCTACTGTTGGAGGTCATGCTGGAAGTCAAGGCAGACAAAGGGCTGATATGTCGATATGCTTTTTATAATGGTGTCAGAGCAGTCAAAATAATATTGTCATCAACAGAAAATGTTCAAGTAAGCGGTGGGTAAAAAAAAAAAAATAAAAAAAAGTCCGTACGTGATACAGCAGTTGTTTTTAAAACCACTCCTTCAGCAGTTTCCAAACCACAGTGGACAACAAGTACTTGCCGCCCTGCCCAAATGGGCAAGGCCGCACAGTGCATTCTTCTTCCAAGAACTGGCTAACACAAGGGCATAGCTGAAATATGGGGGGTACATGTGGCAGGGATCTCAGTTACACCAAAGATGTATTTAAAAAAAGGCCTGTGACAGGGGGGCCAACCCTGTGACCGGGGCGGCGCTCTGCCAGCTGAACCCTCGTGGCCTCCGTCCAAGGTGAGGGAAGAGCTCTGTTGCCCGCTGCGACTGCAGGCATGTGAGCCTATGCGAATGAGAAACGTAAACTGAGAAAGTACTGGGGGGACAGGGATGCGTAAGCCCTCCACCGCACAGGAAAACTTTTACCGCGCCACTTATCCGACTGCAGGAACAATGCAGGGATTAATTTGATTCCTGAAAATTGTGTTTAGGCATTCATAATCACACACGGCAAGCCCTGGGCTTTCTGAAATATATGCACATTTCATACATTTTTTTGTCAGCATCCCATTTAAAACTAGAGCAAATTACTGGGTGCGATTAAAACAGCCAGACATTTGTGTGTTTGTGTTAATGGAATGTGGATAGCACATGGATTGCTGATGTCGAAATGCCTTTAACAATATATGAGGCTTCATTAAAGGGGAAATAATATATGGGTGAAAATGTTTTCGCCCTCTATCCAAGCGTATTAGCTCAAACTGATTGAAAGCATGATAATACCCTCAACTGATTACACTCTGGGACCCAGCATCACTCAGCGTCGAATGAAAAATAAGAAGCCACACTTATTTCTTCCCTGCTGGCATGTGGCTGTTAAAAAACAGACGTAGACAGCTTTTACTTGCATAAATGTGCACCTGCGTTCCAGAAAACTTGGACACTTAACTTGGAACTATGCAGTAAATCTTATTTTTATTTTCTTAGAAACTTTTCTGCTTGTAAAGACCAAAGTGGCTGAGATGAAATAAGACGGATGTTTGGACGGAACCGTGCACACGGTAGTTCTAGCTGAAGTTGGTTTGTTGTTGCACATTTAGAATGAAAGATGTGCCCATTAAGAGCCAGTTCCTGGCAAAACCAATAAAAATTCCACATGTTCAACCGATAACAGCACTGATGTCGTCCAAAAGAGCAAATGGTGCATTCACAGAAGACAAGTGGGACCAAATGATCCAGATGTTCCAACAGCTAATTATCAGCTTTGTGTAAAAGGCCCTCTAAAGAGAAACTGGTAATCCTAAAGCTTATTCCTGTTGAATTTTTAAAAAATTCAACACTAATATTAACTCTTTGAAATGACTAAACTTGTAGCCATCAACTTGGAAGTCATTAATGGGCTGGTTAAGCTCGAAGGAGCCTTTCAGTTAAGAGAAAAGAACAAAAAGAAGACTTCTAGCTGTCTTCCATCAAAAGACTTAGACGTTTATTGAATATTATCCAAATATGGGTGCCACTTGAAAACTTTAATCTTCCTGCCGGCATATACATACTGACATTCATGTGCATGCACATAACAGGGAAACATTTCATGTTCGATCATTTATGGAATGAATAAAAGCAAATAGAAGTTGACTCACGTAGCGTACCTTCAGCTTGACCTGGATCTCCCTGGCCTTTCGTCGAGCTAGTACTTGAATGTGGCTAGAAACCTGGAAGAGATGGACAACAAACAATCCCGCAGAGTGAAGCGCTCTGCAAGCCTGTGTGTCTTCACTTTTTGCTGCAGTGTAAACACGGGAGACCACAAACTCATACAAGGCCTAAATGCTGGTCTGTGGGGCAGATTTATTTTCCATCCAAAATATGAGCTATTCACGCTCCCTGCTGCTTTGCACTGGACAGCTTAGAGAATGAATCATTCTCCAATTAAGATTAGAAAAAGAATGGCAGGTCAAACTTTCTTTAAAATTCTGTATTGTCCATTTTTAAGTATTCTGTACGCAAAAATACCATTCATATGGAGTTGTTCTTGAGTTTTCCCCTCTCAGCTCAATGTTTTGGTCTCTAACCTTTGACAGGCAGCATGCTTAATTTTCTGCTAAATGTAACACTGCACTAACCAGCGCGTTGCCAACGTGGTCCATTGTTTAAGGTGGTGCTGATCGACTAGCTAGCAGGGAATTTGCAAAGCTTTCAGGAAGAAGCAAGCTGCCCCCTGCACACAGCATTTGGTTTCTTCACAGATCTAATCTTTGAGCTAAAAGCTGCCATGAAAGTTGGTAAATCTGAGGGAAGCTGCAAATTCAGGCGATAATTCTTTGCCATCGCATGTGAGACCCCCCCCCATACGGTCATTGTTACTTGATATGTTCTTTAAATGGAAATATTGGGTATAGCCATGACTTAAAGTGGGATGTGAGAGGAAGAGGAGCCCTAGCCCTGTTCCAGTGAGGTCAGGGCGCAAAGACCAAACCGCAGAAAAAAGAGAAAAGGGACTATTTGTTCTGCAGACCGCAGTTCCAGCGAAAACTGCACACATTGTGTTTGCTGGACGTGGGCTGTCTGGAGTGACCAAGGCACTGTTTCAAGAAGGACCAGTTGCAGCTGCGTTTTCTAAATGTCATTTCTAATGTTGCTCCACAAACGAAATTCCATTCATCTCCATTGTCTGGTGAAATGTCAGAAACAATTGACTCAAATCTAAAAAGCAGAATGCGTGAGTGTGTACGTGTGTGTGTGTGTGAGGGGAAAGGGGGTAGACTATCCTCAATAATGCCTTATTTTTGATTTGTAGAACTCTCACAACTTCAGTTTGTGTGGAGCAACTTCATGAATGACTTTTAGGTGGGAAAGGAGGAGCTCTGACTGCAACACAAAGAGTGGGCAATATTTGTACATCGCAAAGTAGGCTACAGTTTGCCACCGTTTGGCATTTGAATTGGATACATGCTTCCATAAAAGTATGGCACTTTAACAATCTGATTTTTACCTGACAAATCACAGTGACGAGAGGAAGTGAGAGTTGGACTTTTGGTGAACACAAAAAGGAGCTGTGGCACATAGAATGGCCGCTTTGTTTCCTACTTGTGAACAGCAGCTCAGCTGTGTGGTGAGCAAGTAAAAAAAAAAAAGAAAAAGAAAATTAGTTACGTAACATCACAATGACACCACAGAGGTTGTGAATAATAAGTTACAGCTGCTGTGCCAGGTGTCGAAATTGTGCCCAGACCTTAAATTTGGACACAGTATGGATCCTGCCACTGTGAGATGCCTCAGCTTTTTAATAAGGTCTATGCACAGAAGAAAAAAAAAACCCTGCACCTCTGTGGTAGGCATTGAAAAATGTTTAGAGACAGATTAAAAGATGTTCATGACAGTCAGTGATGCTGCAGTCAGAAGGACCCTGAAGCGTGAAAAACACCAGAAAAACTTGATGTAAACAAAAAAAAGCACCTTATTGGACCTTTAGGGGTCCAAGACTTGTCAAAAGGGCAGTTTCCCTTTAGATTTGGTAACTTTACTACTTTGGAGCAAAATAGTAGCTTTCAGGGCATCTAAAAACACAAACATGTACTGTGGGGTCCAGTTATTAACCATATGGGGTCCATAAGTAACAAAAATACCTCGAGAGACATGTATGTACTCCTATTGTGATGGAGCTGAATCTGTGGAGGCAGTGTCCACTTCTGTTTTAGGTGGAACTGACAGATACACAACAAAGAAAGACATTTTTAAGCACTATCAATATTTAAGTGCAACAACATGTCGCTTTTTTACAATACAGAGGGCACATTATTGTTAAAAAGCTAAAAGATGTCTATCTGTAGCTCCAACCCGCCTCATTATCCTTCTCTGGTCTGTCTCTGCTGCCCCTTCTCCACTCATCTCTCTTCATTCCCACATCCACCATTTCCCCATACATCAGCTTTTCTATATACCGCAGTGAGGATAAGGTTCCAAATCCCTCTCTATCCCACCTCAGTCTCCTGTGTGGATCACCATATCCCCCAGATTCTGCCCCCCGTCTAATAAGCACCGCGTCCATGAGGTGGTGAAGAAACAACACTGACACACGATCCTATAGCATCTGTGCACTGGACATCGGCCCTAAATCAATCCTCATCTCCTGCTCTCCAAAAAGGAGGAACCGACCGGTTCCAGTCCGGGTGGGGATGGGCTCCGCAGGGTGTTGGGGCATCACTCAACAGAATATTCTGGAGGCGTTCAAAAATAGAGGCTGCAGCAAGTGCTGTCTGCGAGGCGCTCACCTGCTTCCTCGTCCGCGTCTTCCCCGTGCGGAGTTTGATGTACCGCGCTATCAGCTCATTCCGTCCTGCATGGGGCCAGAATGAAAACACAGTAAATACTTTGACTTAAACAAAACTGAATGTTTAATGAAATCATGACAATTGCTGTTAGAATTCCAAAAATCTTTAATCAACGCAGAATCAAATGAAGAATACATTACTAAAGACTCCATTTAGATACCTGGATACATTATCTAAAAAGGGAGGGGGGATGTAACACAAAAAGAGTACAACTTTCATTTTGGTTTTCTAGTTTTTTTAACTGCTCCAGCCGGATGATAATACTAAAAATGGGAAAGACCTGATGAGGTAACGCAGCAGCCGCATCAGATTCATGTGACAGGGTCGAATGAGGAGACACACATGCACAGTCATCTCTGTGAGCCCCCTTAGTCCAATGCCATTATCTATTTAGCCACATTATTGCCTGAAAATCTGCATAGACACAAAAGCCACAGCGTTCCCCCGGTGACAAGCGCCGACTGGCCGATTCCGAGAGATCAGTCTTAAAACACAGACGCAAGAGAGCGAGCGTCCAAGCTGTCAAGTGTGTCAACGCTGTAAGTTTATCTCCGAGTGTACACTTATGTCTGAGTGAGAGCCGGCTCTGAGCCCGTGAGGCTGCAGGGAGTCTGCGTGTGTGTGTGTGTGTGTGTGTGTGTGTGTGTGCGCGCTGCTGACAGACAGGTCACACTGACCGAGCAGGTGGAGGCCGCGGCCATGTGATCCTCAGACCCCCTCAGACCCGGGACGGACCCGGACCCGGTGAGTCGGGGAGCCGCGGGGGCCAAAAGGCAGCTGGTGCGTGTGTCAATGTTTATGGAATATGCCCTTACGCCGGCAGTAAATTTTGAACCGCCCTCACGCTCGTCTTTCAAGATCCTAATTCTTCAGTCACATGTCTTTTTTGTTTTGCTTTTTTGTTTTTTTTACCCCCGATTCAAATGTGAGTGGAAGCTTTTGCTGTCATGTGATGACCGAAAGAACTGCAGAGAAGCTTAAAGTTGGAAAATAAATAAGATAAATACTATATAATGGTGAAAGCATGAAATTGAATTATAGCATTATGGAATAAAGTCATTCATTTTCATTTAGAACCATCAGTGAGGCAAAACAAGCCGTTTGTATGTAATCTTATCCATTTTAGGTTCAAAACTTTTGATTTTCTGACTTTTAGGGGACTGAAAAGAAACAGAATAAAACTGAAACTCATCGATGGATTGATTATTATTAACTAAATAAACCATTGTGGGGACTATTAGAGATTAGCTCATTCTATCGATTTCAGAACCAGTGAACGGTCGACACACACACGCGTTACAGAGCTCTCATACTCCAAAGACCTCGCAGGCCACCGCACACACAGCCACACAAACGTTTGCTGGGCTTTGCACCACCTTTTAAACACGGTCATTTTCCCCCTGGCACCACATCCTCATGAGAAATTAACACACGGGTCACTCACGGCACACATCTTGGTAAAAACCCGTCAGATTTTCCCCTCGCATAGTGATGCTTTGGTCAGACCTCACCACGGTCCCTAAATCTGCCAATCATCTGAGTGCCGTGCAGCAAAAGGGGGGGGGATACCCGATACATGGCCGACACGCTACCAGACGGTTTGTCAGCCAATAAAGGTGATCGGATTTTGGAATGCAAAGCTGCATTTCTGCCGACGCTCGTGCGAAACAGAGAGTCTAGACCTCACAGCGTGCTCATGCACAAGTTTCCATGTAGTGCTTTTTCAAAGCATTTATATCTTGTTGCCATGTCCTTACTGAAACCAGGAACATGCTGAACTCAGGATTCCCGTTTTTATACTTAAATTGTCATTTGGAAGGATTGTTTTTAATATCAAATGAGTGATTAATGTGAGGGCAGCTCTACTTTATCACACCTTGGGAGTTAGCTCCATAGTTTCATTTCCATAGCACTTGCCAAAGTAATTGCTAAGACTTGGAGACACAGAGTCATTAATGAATGTCAGTCAGACAGGGAAAACATCTCCAACAGGCGGATCTTGTTAGAAACTTTGTTTTTACTTTCCTCTCGGGTCAAAACAGACAACCCTTCACTGCTAACAAGAAAAACTGTGTTCAAGTTTAACTGGTACTATTTTTTCCTCCCTTTCTGAACTCTTTAATGAGGATGATAATGAGCTAATTAATGAGTTTTCCAGTAGGATACACAATAAACAACCTATGTACACATCATCTACATATGTCTCACAAACTGGCTCCTTATGGAGGAAAAAAACATTCATGGGGCTTTGCTTGCAAAGATGCATTTTATTTATCCCGACAGACACTAAAATAACAAACTTGTGTGTCTGAGCTCTTTGAAACTATTCCATATTGCTGCTGTTACGCTGTTCTGTGCTCAAGCTTTCCAGTTTCAGCACATTTCTGGATAAATCAGCATTAACGTGCAGACCAGTCAATATTATTATTCTGTGGGAAAAGGGCTTGGCCCCAGAAACACACGCGTACATCCAGTGAACACAATCACATCTCACCCATCTGTACCTCTGTTGTAATGGGAGGCTTTTATGGACTAAACCCCGCTGTATAATGCCACACACCCCCCGTTCATACACACAGTAGCACGTGTAGATATAGACACACATCTGCAAAAAACTTCAGCTCCTGTTGGCACATTCATTCCTTCTCAATCCTTTTTTCTTTCTCAGAGCAGAAACTCCTCAAGCGTTTAGTGTTTAGGTGCATTTGCGAAGCAATTGTATGAGCCCCAAAATGCCTTATTCTTTAATTCCCCAGGGATTAGGGAGATGTTCAATATTTCCTCACAATCAAATTGTTGAAAAGGCAAAAAAAAAAAAGAGGTATTTGTCAGAGTGCTCGCAGTACTTGAGTACAATTGAAATTGAAGTTGCCTGTACTGAATTCATCATTTTGCTCCTGCAAAATGATGAATTCCACCTCCCTACAATTTGTCCTTGCTCGGCACAGCAGACTGTGAGATGGTTATCCCATGTGAATATTCAAAGGAAGCATCTCCAGTAATGATTCTATTTCTCTCCAGGAATTCAGAAAAAACAGACTGTTTTAACATTTTTGCTCCGGTTTTATGGATTGGAGAGACTCCCTTGGACCTAAGCAGCTGCCAAACTTGATCATCCTGCAAACTACCTCAAGGCCGGGTTCGATTACAAAAGGCAGTAAAGTAGCGGTCGCGCACAGCTGCAAGAAGCGATAAATCAGGTAAAATCAGATCAGTTTCCCTTCTAAAATCACTCAATTCTTTGTCTCTGAATGAACGATTTTTAGAAACAAACCACCTATACAAACTGCTTTCATCTGCGTTGGTCACTGTCAGATTTAGTCAGGTTTCGCGTTTCAAGCATCAAACAGCCTTAGGAGTCAAAGACAATTTCCTCATGCACTCATATCAGATGCCCCACCACTCCTGGTGCGAGTGCTTGGGGAAGGGCCCATCCAAAATACCCTCCAACACACCCATGAGATCAGAGAGGCGACTCAGTCACACACCGATGAGATCATGATATCCAACGGGAGAAGCGCAGACACAGAACCAGTGCCAGCAAAGGCTGCAGGAGAGTCGGTAGGAACATTATCCCATCACCCACTGCTCCACAGTTTGATGTTGTTTATCACACTGCCTGCAGTCATGGACTGGTCTGGGGGGGAATCTGATTCTGGGAACATTTCTTAAGGGCATGAAAAGTGTTGCCGTTGAGGCAAAGTCAGGGTCTCTCAGAGTTCAAGAGAAACTACAGGGTTTTTTTTTTCCACCACTGAAGAGAATAAATGAGTGGTGCGTTTCTAATAGTTTCATCACAATATGATTAAAGAAAAGTGCAAGTTGGAGTCTTCCCAGAGGGCACCACACTACAGATTCATAAAAGATATGTCTTTTCAGTCTTAACAAGTCTTGTTAACGGCAAAAAGGGTGAATGTATAATCTGCCAAAATAATACTTTGTGTTTTTATAACATTAAAAGTTCTTACACTCAGATGTACTTGCTATAGTGCTGTAACAGAAAAGCTGGAGCAAAGTAAAGGTGTACTGAAACTTTTCTATTCCCTTTTGACACACCAGTTCAGGGTCTCTTCCTGTCATTTGATTGAGAGCCAATCCAACGACAGTCATGTCCTTTGAAAATATCAAATGACATCAAATCTGTCTCCCTCTCGGCACAAAAGGTGCATGAAAGATGAAAAGCTGGTGCGCGGCCTTCTCCATCAATCAAATGTATTGGGTTATCTGGGTTTTTTTTGTCAAGAGGTGGTTTTTGAAATGTAGTGTTGAAACATCCATGCAAAAAAAATGCATATAAAAGACATGAAAAAAAAGTGCCTCTTTGGTTTATACATTTGCGTACATACAGACAGAGGGGTGCGTTTATAGATGAGGAGGAACATTTCTAAGAAGCATAGGGTCTGTTTTCTCTGTCTCTTTGGTAGAGGTCAGGTGGAGATGGATGGTGTTAGTGTAGGAGGCCAACCATGTCCCTTCCAAAGTCAGCCCCTGAGCCTAACTGCTCATAAATCTGCTCTTTCTCAATGGGGCTGCGGTCATCACTGGCCTGGTCTGATCTCCTTCTCTCCGTCTGAGCGTTTCTCCCTCAGCTCACTGCATTCCTGGCATTCCTGTTTACTGACTGGTCGGCCCAGGGTCCTGCATCTGCGCCTCCAACTTTATCCCATGTCCTGTTTGTGTTTTTACAATCACAACAATGCACAGACACCGAATAATGACCAACCCAACTCGGTTGTTCAACAATATTTAGACAAACCTCCTTTGACCACACTGTGCCGCTTTTAATTTAATAAAGTTGAATCCAAAGCATTTCAATATCTGCCTGCCATAAGTTTTCTTTACACTTGACATATGCTCCACTTTGTCTGCTCAGGAAAACAAAGGTCACATTTAGGTTTAAGGAATGTTTTGGTTGGGTGTTATGCTGCCCCCCCCACCCCCCTCAGCAGTCTCGCCACAGCTTACAGAGCTGAAAAATAAATCTCTACCAACAAGTGAAATGTCAGAGCTGAACCGAGAAAGTGAGAATTCAAAGACTATAAAACATTTGTTAAAAGACTATAAGTTACATATTATCATTTGCCTTAGCATACCAAATATAGATAAATATTTGTTCATGACAGTAAAAATAAAGAAAAGGTTTTTTCCCTATCATTTAGCATGAAATCCCAATAATTCTGCCAACTGTTATATGAAGGAAGTGACGTTGGAGAAATACTGTACAAGTTTGACATTTTCTAATAAGGACTCAGGATCCACATTATCCTTTTTCGAATTCTATTTACATGACATTAGTTAATATATAAATGTTAACTTCAATCCATACGTAAAGATACCAAAATCCTAAAGATTTTTTACTAAATAACAAGACAGACACCAGAGTAAAAAAAGAAGTTATAATCAAATGCTGCTATCAGACATACAGTATATACACATTCCTAAACCAGGGAAGGTCTAAGCAATTCATCAAAGGCCTCCAAATGCCTCTTTCAACCGTCTGTAATCTTATCAAGAAATGTCACTATTGAGATAAAATAAAACTGTTATGATGCACTGAAATACACTAAGATTAGTTTGATTTTCTTCAAAGTCAGTACAAGCCCTCTCCTCCCCATTGCAACCGCCACAAAAAAGAGGCTCCTGTGAAAAGTGTAAGAAAATAACCTTTTTGAGTTGAGGTGTTGGAGCAATATTTGCAGTTCACCCTGTAGAGATCTGCTCACAGCAGCAAAACCAATTTTCTCTCTTTGGTTTGACCACGGAGATGCAACATTCTCTGACTTTTCAGTCAGATTCAGTTGGTTTGTAGCCTCTAGTGCTCTTACGCCAACTCAGGTTTATCAGTGCTGTGAGTAATGTAACATTTGCATTTACAGCTTCATGTTAAGAATTCAAAGCATTCCCTTAAAACCAAATAAATCCAACCACTGCGTTTGCAAATGTATCTGTTGTTTTCCTGGAATATAGCACAAGAGGTAAGAGTGCTGCCATTTATAGTTTTTCCCTTGACTTACTTCTCAGGTATCTCGACGTGCTTGAAATGATTTTTGATTAGAAAGAAAAATACAACAACCTGTGAATAACCTGTGTGGGTTTCTCCCACAGTCCTAGAGCCTTCAATGTCAGATTAATACGTCATTCTAAATAAGTGAGGCACTGGTACATGCATTACAGAAATTGTTTTTTTTCCTTACAGCATCCTTTGTCTGATCTAATAATGTACCATATCTTCAATAATATCTTCATTGTAAAATTCAATATAACACAAAAATGGGTGAGCAGATAAATAAAGGAACATGTCATTAAATAGACTGTGGTATAGATTACTGCTCAGGAAATATTAGGATATATAATATCTGATTTCAAATGCAAACACTTTTCTGAGAACCCTATTCACAAAGGGAAAAAAATAGGAAATGCTTATTGTGTGGATACCATTTCAAACATTTAAAAACGTTACTGAATTACGTTTAGACTTTCGACTTGAGGCTTCATCTGTTAAATGCAGTGTAAGAACAAAATACATACTACGTTACTATTGTGGCATTATTGGATTGCTACAGTCCATCACACTGTTGCACATGAACTTGTGCTCATCTTTTTTTCTTTCGGCAGTGACTCTCAGTTATGGAAGGAAAGCCACTAAACACAGAGGCCCTGCAGGCTTCCTCATAGGTCAGATGGTCAAGGTAACTGGTGAATCTCTCACTTTACTGCCAAAGTTTGGACCTGAGTGAGGACTCGGTGTCTTTCCGCTGATCACTACATCCCGATCTTAATGAAAATGACTCGAGACAAAAACATACTTGCGTCGCCGACCGGGTTGAGACGTTTCACAAAAGCCTCTCAGCGGGAACTTGATTTACTGAGGATGTACTCGTTTGGGAACTGAGA